AATTATATGTTTAAATATACTTATGCATTTTTATGTAATTGATGATCTCACCCTTCTGTTAAAATTATGCTTTATACGACATCGTGCAAATACTCAGGGATAGTTCGAAATCAAAGTGAGTGAAGATGGAGTCTTCCTTTTATTATATTAGAGTCGACGTCTGTTCTGATGTGTAACATTGGGGAACAGAACGATATTGTTAAGGTTACAGAGTCAAAAACATTTAAATCAAGAGATACTCTAGGATCAAGCATTCAAGATGAGAGTTATTGTAGGATCAAGCAATCAAATCAAATTATAACTAATTAGAGGAAATCAAGCAATAGCAGTAGTAAGCAATTATTATGACAGCAAACTTGTTTCTATATATTGTACCAATACACCTTGTGAATAATTATCAATATAACAATATTATTTATATGGTATCAGAGGCCTCTTAGACTCAAAAGAGTGCACGATCCATCATGTCTACAGATTCCTCAAACACATATTCTACCATGCCAGGCAACTCCTCAAACACAAACACAAATCCTATCAAACTTTCACCTCTAAAACATGGTGCCCAAATATCCATTAAACTTTATGCGTCCAACTTTTTTGCTTGGCGCCGCCAAATCAATTCACTACTTGCTAGCATGAAATGCATAGGCTACATCACCGGAAAAGTCGAACCACAATCTGATATGATCACCACCAATGGCATCTCAATAAACAATCCTTCCTATGAAGATTGGTTCGCTAATGATCAACTTATCGTTAGCTTTCTACTCGCTTCCATGAATGAACGCGATAGCGTTGCCTTCTCTTCATGTAACACTGCTCGTCAACTATGGATGGCCATTGAAGCCAAGTATGCAAATCCATCATGAGCTCATGTGATGTCTCTCAAAAACCAGCTGTAGAGAAGCCGTAAAGGCTCTCAAACTGTCACTGAATTTTTATTTCAGGTGAAAAGAATCGCTGATGAACTAGCAGTCTTGGATGCTACAATCTCAAATGACGACATCACTCTCTATGTACTCAACGGTCTTGGATCAGATTATCGTGACATCGCTGCTTCCATCCGAACTAGAGAACGCTCTTTCACCTTTGAAGAGTTACACAACCATCTCATTGCACATGAAGATTTCCTGCAGAAAGAAGATGCACCTGCAGATGTTACTGTCCCAACAGCAAACTTCCATCAGCGAAATGGATCTCAGAATTTTCGTGGACGTAGTTCTTTTCGTCGAGGCGGTCGTCATGGATCGAATCAAAATATAAATCCTTTTCCATCAGATTCATTCCACCTGACACAATCATCCCCACGCCACCAAAATGCATCAAACAACCATAGTACAAATCAACCTCTATATCAAGGACCATCGAGGAACCAACACCATTTCAATCATCGAGCAAATCGCCCACCTCCACGCTGCCAATTATGTGACTTTCCTGGACATATAGCCAAATATTGCCCACAACTTATGCAATCCAACCCTACTGCTAATTATGCTGCTGCAAATGCAAACTGGATCCTTGACAGTGGAGCCAATCATCACATCACTGCAGACTTGAACAACTTAAGTCTTCACTCAAACTACGAAGGCCCTGACTCGGTCATAATTGGAGACGACTCAGGTTTAGCCATTACACACATGGGTTCAACTCATCTTTCTATTCCTTCTACTATTTTTAATCTTAACAATGTTTTATGTGTTCCAAAAGCAAGTGACAATTTAATTTATGTTGCCAAATTTTGTCAACAAAACAATGTGTATGTTGAGTTTCACCCTTTCTCCTTTTTTGTGAAGGATCTCAAGACAGGGACGACGTTAATGTGCGGTCCAAATAGTGGTGATCTCTACACCCTCCAACCCTCACTCCCCACTCCACCAACTAACCTTCACGCATCACGGTCCACTAACACCCTTTGGCATGCTCGACTAGGCCACCCCTCACCTAAGGCACTTCATCAAGCTCTTAAGACATTTCTACCTTCCAGTTCTCATATTTCAAGTTCTACATGTAACTCATGCTTCTTGAATAAAAGTCACAAATTACCATTTCATGAGTCATCAATAAAAACCTCTACTCCACTTGAATTAATTTTTTCTGATGTTTGGGGTCCCTCTCCAATAACCTCTGCTAATGATTATCGCTATTATCTTATCTTTGTTGATCACTTCACTCGATATTCGTGGTTATATCCATTAAAACATAAAACTGAAGTTGTCACAATTTTTCCTCAATTCCAAAGAACTATTGAAAACTATTTTTCCTTCAAAATTAAATCCATTTACACCGATGGAGGGACAAAATATATAAAATTAAAATCCCACTTTTCCACACATGGTATATCCCATTTCATCTCTCCACCATACACCCCAGAGAACATCGGACTAGCCGAGCGTAAACATCGACACATTGTTGAAACAACCCTCACACTATTAAGTCATGCTTCCATTCTATTAAAATATTGGGGTTATGCATTTCAAGCCTCTATATATCTCATTAACAGAATGCCCACTCCTTTACTTTGTGATAAATCACTGTTTGAATGTCTTCACAACAAACTTTCGTCCTATAAAATTTCAAAGTTTTTGGATGTCTATGTTATCCTTGGCTACGTCCATATGCTCCAAACAAATTATCTCCATGTAGTACACCATGTGTCTTCCTTGGTTATTCTACACAATATCACTCTTACATTTGTCTAGATCGAGCCACTCGAAGGGTGCATCTATCCCGCCATGTTGTTTTTGTTGAAGACCAATTTCCCTTCTCACACCCAAACCCACAACTCTCACCTCCATTACTACCGCAACATTCATGGCTCCCACTTCCCAATTTCTTGTCTCACCCACATCAACCTAACACATCCAAAACCATAATTCCTAATTCCATACTACAAATTCCTCCCGTTACAGCCCCACATGACTCTCACTTATCCTCTCAAACCAGCTCCAATATTAACCATGCCATTTCCACTACACCTCAATCAACTGAACCTACACCTTCAAACTCAAATAACATCCAACCATCACCTTTACCCACTCCTACATCAACACCACAAACCACACCACCATTGGAACATACATCAACGTCATCCTCTGAACCTTTGAGACCCATCACACGGTCCATTCATAACACACACAAGCCAAACAAAAAATATTTACTTGTCACAAAACATCCTTTACCAGCATCGCATGAACCCACGTGTGTATCACAAGCAATGGCTTCCTCTGAATGGCGTGCTGCCATGGCATCCGAATTCAACGCATTGATGCAACAAGGAACTTGGGATTTATTTCCCAAAAACACAACATCTAACCTCATAGGATGTAAGTGGGTGTTTCGAGTAAAATGCCGCCCAGAGGTTCCATTGACAGATATAAGGCACGCCTAGTCGCGAAAGGATTTCATCAACGCCCTGGACTAGATTATGATCAAACATTCAGCCTTGTGGTTAAACCTTCAACAGTCCGGTTGGTTCTCACATTGGCCATTCAACAACGTTGGCACATTCGACAGTTGGATGTAAACAATGCGTTCTTACATGGTAAGCTTCTAGAAACCGTATACATGCAACAACCACCAGGATCTCATCATCTAGATTACCCTGACCATATCTGTCGGCTAAAGAAGTCCTTGTATGGCCTAAAACAGGCCCCTCGGGCTTGGTTCAACACCTTGCATTCTTTCTTACTGTCTTATGGGTTTGTCAACTCCAAATCTGATCCATCATTATTCATTTATCTAAAAGGAGATGTCAAAGTCTACACCTTGGTATATGTTGATGATATTTTAATTACAGGTAATAACAATGAAGCAATTTCTAAGTGCATTTCAACACGAGCCGCTAAGTTTTCCATCAAAGACTTAGGATCCATTCATTTTTTTCTTGGTGTTGAAGTTATTCCCACCACTCAAGGATTATTTTTGAGTCAACACAAATATATTCATGATCTGCTTGATCGCACAAAGATGAAAGATGCAAAGATGGTCCATTCACCGATGTCCACATCTTCTCCTCTTACCAAATTTGATGGCGCAAGTGCAGCAAATCTTACGGAATACAGAAGCATCATATGGGCTCTACAATATTTGTCCATGACAAGGCCTGACATAGCCTACACCGTAAATAAGCTCGCACAGTTCATGCAACATCCATCATCCACACACTTCACAACCTTGAAAAGACTTCTTCGGTATCTCAAAGCCACCATTTTTCATGGACTGCACTTAAAACGCTCATCTTCCCAAAATCTCTATGCATTTAGTGATGCCGATTGGGCTGGAAATCGGGATGACTATACATCCACCTCTGCATATGTTACTTTTTATGGTGGTAACCCCATTTCTTGGAAGTCTTTTAAACAAAAAGTTGTTGCAAGATCATCCACCGAAGCCGAATACAGAGCTCTGGCATCTGCATCCGCAGAAGTTCTTTGGTTGTCATCACTTCTCTCTGAACTACATGTCAGTATACCAACTATTCCTACCATCTACTGCGACAATCTCGGTGCCACTTATCTCACCGTCAATCCCGTCTTCCATAGTCGCATGAAACACATTGCCATAGATATTCATTTTGTCAGAGATCATGTTCATAATAACAAGATTCGAGTTCAGCATGTTTCAACAAAAGATCAACTCGCAGATTGCCTTACCAAACCCTTATCCAGGCAGCGTCATCAAGATCTTCGATTCAAGATAGGAGTTTCTGACGGTACCCCTATCTTGCGGGGGCGTGTTAAGGTTACAGAGTGAAAAACATTTAAATCAAGAGATACTCTAGGATCAAGCATTCAAGATGAGAGTTATTGTAGGATCAAGCAATCAAATCAAATTATAACTAATTAGAGGAAATCAAGCAATAACAGTAGGAAGCAATTATTATGACAGCAAACTTGTTTATATATATTGTACAAATACACCTTGTGAATAATTATCAATATAACAATATTCTTTATATGGTATCAGAGGCCTCTTAGACTCAAAAGAGTGCACGATCCATCATGTCTACAGATTCCTCAAACACAGATTCTACCATGCTAGGAAACTCCTCAAACACAAATACAAATCCTATCAAACTTTCACCTCTAAAACATGGTGCCCAAATATCCATTAAACTTTCTGCGTCCAACTTTTTCGCTTGGCGCCGCCAAATCAATTCACTACTTGCTGGCATGAAATGTATAGGCTACATCACCGGCAAAGTCGAACCACAATCTGAGATGATCACCACCAATGGCATCTCAACAAACAATCCTTCCTATGAAGATTGGTTCACTAATGATCAACTTATCGTTAGCTTTCTACTCGCTTCCATGAATGAACGCGATAGCGTTGCCTTCTGTTCATGTGACAATGCTCGTCAACTATGGCTGGCCATTGAAGCCAAGTATGCAAATCCATCACGAGCTCATGTGATGTCTCTCAAAAACCAGCTGCAGAGAAGCCGTAAAGGCTCTCAAACTGTCACTGAATTTTTATTTCAGGTGAAAAGAATCGCTGATGAACTAGCAGTCTTGGATGCTACAATCTCAAATGACGACATCACTCTCTATGTATTCAACGGTCTTGGATCAAATTATCGTGACATCGCTGCTTCCATCCGAACTAGAGAACGCTCATTCACCTTTGAAGAGTTACATAACCATCTCATTGCACATGAAGAATTCATGCAGAAAGAAGATGCACCTGCAGATGTTACTGTCCCAACAACAAACTTCCATCAGCGAAATGGATCTCGGAATTTTCGTGGACGTAGTTCTTTTCATCGAGGAGGTCGTCATGGATCGAATCAAAATATAAATCCTTTTCCATCAGATTCATTCCACCCGACGCAGTCATCCCCACACCACCAAAATGCATCAAACAACCATAGTACAAATCAGCCTCTCTATCAAGGACCATCGAGGAACCAACACCATTTCAATCATCGAGCGAATCGCCCACTTCCATGCGGCCAATTCTGTGACTTTCTTGGACATATAGCCAAATATTGCCCACAACTTATGCAATCCAGCCCTACTGCTAATTCTGCTGCTGCAAATGCAAACTGGATCCTTGACAGTGGAGCCAATCATCACATCACTGCAGACTTGAACAACTTAAGTCTTCACTCAAACTACGAAGGCCCTGACTCGGTCACAATTGAAGATGGCTCAGGTTTAGCCATTACACACATGGGTTCAACTCATCTCTCTACTCCTTCTACTATTTTTAATCTTAACAATGTTCTATGTGTTCCAAAAGCAAGTCACAATTTAATTTCTGTTGCCAAATTCTGTCAACAAAACAATGTGTATGTTGAGTTTCACCCTTTCTCCTTTTTTGTGAAGGATCTCAAGACAGGGGCGACATTAATGTGAGGTCCAACTAGTGGTGATCTCTACACCCTCAAACCCTCACTCCCCACTCCACCAACCAACCTTCATGCATCACGGTCCACTAACACCCTTTGGCATGCTCGACTAGGCCACCCCTCACCCAAGACACTTCATCAAGCTCTTAAGACATTTCTACCTTCCAGTTCTCATATTTCAAGTTCTACATGTAACTCATGCTTCTTGAATAAAAGTCACAAATTACCATTTCATGAGTCATCAATAAAAACCTCTACTCCACTTGAATTAATTTTTTCTGATGTTTGGGGTCCCTCTCCAATAACCTATGCTAATGATTATCACTATTATCTTATCTTTGTTGATCACTTCACTCGATATTTGTGGTTATATCCATTAAAACAAAAAACTGAAGTTGTCACAATCTTTCCTCAATTCCAAAGAACTATTGAAAACTATTTTTCCTTCAAAATTAAATCCATTTACACCGATGGAGGGTCAAAATATATAAAATTAAAATCCCACTTTTCCACACATGGTATATCCCATTTCATCTCTCCACCATACACCCCAGAGCACATCGGACTAGCCGAGCGTAAACATCGGCACATTGTTGAAACAACCCTCACACTATTAAGTCATGCTTCCATTCCATTAAAATATTGGTGTTATGCATTTCAAGCCTCTATATATATATATATCTCATTAACAGAATGCCCACTCCTTTACTTTGTGATAAATCACCGTTTGAATGTCTTCACAACAAACTTTCGTCCTATAAAAATTTCAAAGTTTTTGGATGTCTATGTTATCCTTAGCTACGTCCATATGCTCCAAACAAATTATCTCCACGTAGTACACCATGTGTCTTCCTTGGTTATTCTACACAATATCACTCTTACATTTGTCTAGATCGAGCCACTCGAAGGGTGCATCTATCCCGCCATGTTGTTTTTGTTGAAGACCAATTTCCCTTCTCACACCCAAACCCACAACTCTCACCTCCATTACTGCCGCAACATTCATGGCTCCCACTTCCCAATTTCTTGTCTCACCCACATCAACCTAACACATCCAAAACCATAATTCCTAATTCCATACTACAAATCCCTCCCGTTACAGCCCCACATGACTCTCACTCATCCCCTCAAACCAGCTCCAATATTAACCATGCCATTTCTACTAAACCTCAATCAACTGAACCTACACCTTAAAACTTAAATAACATCCAACCATCACCTTTACCCACTCCTACATCAACACCACAAACCACACCACCATTGGAACGCACATCAATGTCATCCTCTTAACCTTAGAGACCCATCACACGGTCCATGCATAACATACACAAGCCAAACAAAAAATATTTACTTGTCACAAAACATCCTTTACCAGCATCGCATGAACCCACGTGTGTATCACAAGCAATGGCTTCCTCTGAATGGCGTGCTGCCATGGCATCCGAATTCAACGCATTGATGCAACAAGGAACTTGAGATTTAGTTCCCAAAACATAGCATCTAACCTCATTGGATGTAAGTGGGTGTTTCGAGTAAAACGCCGCCCAGACGGTTCCATTGACAGATACAAGGCACGCCTAGTCGCGAAAGGATTTCATCAACGCCCTGGACTAGATTATGATCAAACATTCAGCCCTGTGGTTAAACCTTCAACAGTCCGGTTGGTTCTCACATTGGCCATTCAACAACGTTGGCACATTCGACAGTTGGATGTAAACAATGCATTCTTACATGGTAAGCTTCTAGAAACCGTATACATGCAACAACCACCAGGGTTTCATCATACAGATTACCCTGACCATATCTGTCGGCTAAAGAAGTCCTTGTATGGCCTAAAACAGGCCCCTCGGGCTTGGTTCAACACCTTTCATTCTTTCTTACTGTCTTATGGGTTTGTCAACTCCAAATCTGATCCATCATTATTCATTTATCTAAAAGGAGATGTCAAAGTCTACACCTTGGTATATGTTGATGATATTTTAATTACAGGTAATAACAATGAAGCAATTTCTAAGTGCATTTCAACACTAGCCACTAAGTTTTCCATCAAAGACTTAGGATCCATTCACTTTTTTTCTTGGTGTTGAAGTCATTCCCACCACTCAAGGATTAATTTTGAGTCAACACAAATATATTCATGATCTGCTTGATCGCACAAAGATGAAAGATGCAAAGATGGTCCATTCACCGATGTCCACATCTTCTCCTCTTACCAAATCTGATGGCGCAAGTGCAGCAAATCTTACGGAATACAAAAGCATCATAGGGGCTCTACAATATTTGTCCATGACAAGGCCTGACATAGCCTACACCGTAAATAAGCTCGCACAGTTCATGCAACATCCATCATCCACACACTTCACAGCCTTGAAAAGACTTCTACGGTATCTCAAAGCCACCATTTTTCATGGATTGCACTTAAAACACTCATCTTCCCAAAATCTCTATGCATTTAGTGATGCCGATTGTGCTGGAAATCGGGATGACTATACATCCACCTCTGCATATGTTACTTTTTATGGTGGTAACCCCATTTCTTGGAAGTCTTTTAAACAAAAAGTTATTGCAAGATCATCCACCGAAGCTGAATACAAAGCTCTGGCATCTGCATCCGCAGAAGTTCTTTGGTTGTCATCACTTCTCTCTGAACTACATGTCAGTATACCAACTATTCCTACCATCTACTGTGACAATCTCGGTGCCACTTATCTCACTGTCAATCCCGTCTTCCATAGTCGCATGAAACACATTTCCATAGATATTCATTTTGTCAGAGATCATGTTCGTAATAACAAGATTCGAGTTCAGCATGTTTCAACAAAAGATCAACTTGCAAATTGCCTTACCAAACCCTTATCCAGGCAGCGTCATCAAGATCTTCGATTCAAGATAGGAGTATCTGACGGTACCCCTATCTTGCAGGGGCGTGTTAAGGTTACAGAGTCAAAAATATTTAAATCAAGAGATACTCTAGGATCAAGCATTCAAGATGAGAGTTATTGTAGGATCAAGCAATCAAATCAAATTATAACTAATTAGAGGAAATCAAGCAATAACAGTAGGAAGCAATTATTATGACAGTAAACTTGTTTCTATATATTGTACCAATACACCTTGTGAATAATTATCAATATAACAATATTCTTTATAGATATGTTTTTGGTTATGTTTGTGCGAGATTATATGTAATCTCTAAAAATGTTATAACTATGATTATTTTGTTAGAAACACGATTATATTTTAATGTTGACAAACGACCATATGTCGAATTGTTCCCACTGTTTAAATTGAAAGTTGAAGTTTAAGACTCGCACGGTTGTTATAATTATAATTTTTATAATTCCAAAAAAGTTATGTGTTACATGTCAATTGCATGAGCAGGTTTTTGGTGATATCATGACATCTTAAATACTTGTATTTTGTTTTACTCTGATAATTACAAGATAATACACGGAAAATATTTAGGGTGCTACATTAACAAACAAAGGCCGAGTGGTTACTTTCACATTCTACATGACCCCATATACATTAATCTTGTTAAAGAGTTCTAGATGAATGACTCTGTTGTGCCAGATAGTCATGATGAAGTCTTCCAGTCCTATATCAATGGCTCTCATTTCTTCATTACTCCATTATGGATTGATATGACAATCAACTGTCAAAAGAAAGGTAGTTATGTTGAACATTATCAATTCAACAATGTTTACTCAATCCGCCTTCACCAAATTTATGCCAACCGAGATAAGCCCACCAGTCCTGCTTCTCTACTCTCAATTACAAAATTTTGGTTTCAACTTCTAGAGGAAAATCTCCGTCCAAGAGAGAAACAATTGGAAATACTTACTTGGCATGACAAACATCTCTTGTACTTCCTCACCTACAATGCCATAATTAATCTTCCTCTTACTGTTTTCAACTTCTTGAAGGAAATGATAAGTATTTCTCAGGAGGAAATGACTTTCCTGATACCATATGGAAGAGACCTTTCTAAACTTTTCTCTAAGTTAGGAATAATGTTGAAGTTGAGTGGATTGAGAAGTTTGAATATGTGGAATAATTTTCTCTGTTGTCTTGTTTTTTTATTATCAATGAAATAATTATTTTTCTATTATTTCCTATTCTTGTTTATTGATAACAAATATTTTTGAGAATTACTAATTAACAAAGAAAAACATGGAATATGGAAAAGACGCCAAGTGATAAATTGTTGATTTTTTTAAATGCAGTAACGAGATTCGAAGCGAGATACCTTATAGCTATATTACCTTGATTCTCCAAAAAAAATGAGAGAACAAATTTATTATTTTTTAATGTATAAAAATGGCACTCACTTAGTTGTGTTACCTCGATTTTTTATAACACCGAGGTAAAATGTTGTTTATTTTATTTAAAAAATCAAACATGCGCTCCCATGACATATACTCTCGGTTTTTAGCATGTTTGAGATGAAAGCTTCATCATGAAAAGTGTTACTCATTGTAGTTGGGCTGACCATGAACTGAGCATAGAGTTTTATCGGGTTGATCTCAAATCTATCGAGTTCTTACACCGGACTAAACTCAGAAACCAAGAGAGATTTTACACTAGGTTGATCTCTAACCAATAAAGCTATTAACCGCACTGAGCTCAAGAACTACTATGGAGATTTTCAATGGATTATGCCCACGAACCAAAAGAGAGCTTTTTCAATTGCGGACCTCACTAACAAAACAAAAACTCATACTTATCCTCTAAAAACAAACAAGAGTTTTTTCAATGGTTTAGCTCCAAACCAAAATAATAACTTCCTAGAGAAGAATTATTTACTCAAGAGAAAATTCTACTCTTGATAAATTTCCAATTAATCTCTCACCCATAATAAAATTCCTCACTAAACTCAAGAATGCTCTCAAAGTACTATGGCTAAAATATGTGGAAAAAGTGAATAATTTAAAGAGATTATGAAAGAAATAATAAGTGAGGTTTTTCACATTTTTTGGGGTATTTGAAATGACAGATAAGCTCTATATTTATAGGCCAAAAAATGATATAAATTAGAAACAATCCATAGACCAATTAAATAACCTTATCGCTTAGGCAATGTCAATAATTGATTATGGTTGCCCATAATGGAAAACTTAGATATAAATTTGTTACCAATCATTAAGAGACTCTCATAATCCATTAGAGACTCGACTGGGCATCATCTAATCGATTAGGCTATAAGTATAATCGATTAGACAATTTGGAAAATGTTTTCCTAATTAAGCAGAAAATTCCCTAAACTATTGGCTAGACTCTAAAAACATTTTTTTTGGTTTTTTTAATAAAAAAGGCTTTTATATGTGTGTGTGATTTAGCTATAATACTTCAAAAAATACTCTCGTGTCTTTACAAGACACGGATCACTCAAAGTTAAATAAGCCTCACACTAGAAAGATAATATTGTTAGTGCTTGTATAATGGAGGGTGGCCTCTTGGGGTGTACTCAAAGGTCTACACATTATGTAAAAAGGAGACAACACACATCTCATGACCAACACACACATGTGGCACTAGCATTGTTTGTCAGTCAGGTCGACTCAATTGGGCTTGAGGTTGGGAGTTTCAAAAATGTATATTCGAAAAAAAGGTTTTGGTGTTTTCAAATATGCATTTCCGAACCTATTTGATAAAAAACTGAAATATGGTGAATTCAGAAATGCATATTCGAATTCAGAGAGTATTATGTGAATTTCGACAAACACTTCTAAAAAGGTACAAGGGTGCTTTAAGAAAATCCCTATGTTTTCTATAAGAAAGGGGAGGCGTCCAAAAGAATATTATAACAAAAGAAAAATACTATCTTTTATAAAATGCTTGAGAAATATCGATGTATTGATAAATGTTTTTTTACACCATTAATTGGATAATTATAAAAGGAGAATTTCTCTTTACACCTAATATCCTTCTTCCACGTCTTGCGAAAAACCCAAAATACCACTCAGAATTTAGAAATACATATCTGAACGCACATATTCCACAAAAATTTATGAAAAATATATTTTCTGATGCATCTTCGAACACACCTCATTTTTTTTTACGAAAAAAGTAGTTTTAGATATGCATATCCGAATTTTACTCTGTTATAAAAATTTAAAAATACAACTAAAAATCAAATAAAATTAAATTAAGTGTCTACAATTTTTTCCCGAAAACATGATAACGAAAAATAAATCAAATAAAATAGAAAAACAAGGAATTTATGGTTTTTAGGGTGAGATCCTCTATTTTGTTTCAAAATAAGGAATTTTGATCCCTGATTTTTCCCCGGATGAATTGACATATAAAATTTTAATTCAGAATTGATTTTTTAGAAAATTAAGTTTTTTACGTTAGGTCGCCTAAAGGCCAAAGACACAAGGACTCATTAAGCCTAGTACTGTTGAGAATTTATTTGTAAACCTAATAGTGTTGAGTTCCTGCGTCTCTGGCCTCAATTTTCTGAAAAATCGATTATGAATTAAAATTTTATCATGTCAATTCATCTGAAGAAAATCAGGGATTAAAATGACCCCACTCTAAAAACCATAAATTCATTGTTTTTCTATTTTATTTGATTTATTTTCCGTTTTCATATTTTCAAAAAATTCAAAAAAGTTTGTAGACACTTAATTTAATTTTATTTGATTTTTAGTTGTATTTTTAAATTTTTATAACAGAGTAAAATTCGGATATGTATATCCGAAATCATTTTTTTATTTAAAAAATGAGATATATTCGAAGATGTATTCCAAAAATATATTTTTCATAAATTTTAGTATAATATATACGTTTAAATATACATTTCTGAATTATAGAGAATATTTTGAGTTTTTCGCAATGGAAGGATAGTAGGTGTAATGATAAATTGTGTTATAAAAACCAGATAACATTAAGCCTACTTATTCACAAAATTTCATTTGTGCCACTATCTTGGCTTGCTATAAAACATTCCGACAACTTAAAAAGCATCTTACCTGTCAGTCCCACATTCTTACCACTGAGCGGGAAAGAGCTCAAGTGAAGCAGCCATAAAGCAAAAACGCCGTCGCATCATTTACATCCTCTAGGGTTTTCTCCATTGATTCCGTTTTCGTCACATCATGGCAAATGTTGTGGATCAAGATCAGCAATGGCTTCTCAGTTGCCTGTCTGCCACACTCGACCCTAACCAGGAGGTTCGCTCTTTTGCTGAAGCCTCTCTTGATCAAGCCTCTCGCCAATCAGGTTCAATCATCTTCTCCTTAAACCCTAAATATTTCGGAATTTTGCTCCGTCAAACCCTTGTTTGGCTACTTCTTTTGTGTTGCTCAATTTTCTTTATGTTGAATGCCGGTGGCATCGGGTAGTAGTGTATGTCATAGGAATTGTGATGGATTTTGAAATTAAGTTAGCTATACAAGTCTATCTCAAGTCAACATAATCTATGTAGGCACCAACATCCCTGAAAGTGTCTGAAAAAAGGACGCACGATTAATTTATTCATTTTTTCAAATTATTACCGGTGTCGCTTTGTCTGGGTCGTGTTCAGGGTGTCTGTACTTCATAAAACATAATTTTACTTTTTCTTTTCAAGGCAATGTGAATGCCTTTTTTTTTCCTTCGGGTAATGCTGTACGTGTTGGCTTGAAAAATATCACGATGTTAAATTTATTATGTTAAAATTTCCTGAAGGTTTTGGCAGTGCATTATCAAAAGTCCTTGCAAACAAGGAGCTTGCTGTGGGGTTGCGCCAGATATCCTTTTCCTAATGATTTGATACATTTATGATTTATGATTTTTGATTCAGAGCTCAAATATTTACTCTTTGCGACTCATTCTTGGAATCGATGTTTATCACAATCTGTCATTATGTTTGTTTTCATTGTTGGTGGGATGTATACTAAATTAGAGCTTGCTATAAAGTAAGTAGAGGAAAAACAACTTATCTGTCATTAGGTAAACATTTTGTGGTATGAAATACTGCTAGAATTGATATTTTTCTTGTTGTCAAGCTTTCCAATCTTTTGAATCACTTTACCAGGATATTTATGCTCCGCCTCTTCCTTCCACTGTCTTATATGTTTTCTACTCATACATTTGAAAGCAGGAAACAATGCAAACGAAATAAAAGCAAAAAACTTTATTCCCAAAACCAAAGAGATTCTTATCCTTGTTACGACTTAAATGCCTGCCCATAAATTATTCATTTTCCTCCTTCTATGAGCTTATGTTCTTGTATAATTTAACTGTCCTCTACTTAGCTGCAGTTCTTCTTAAGCAGTTAGTTAAAAAGCATTGGCAGGAGGGTGAAGACTCATTTGAACCTCCTGTGGTTTCCGATAATGAAAAGGTAAATACACTTTCATTTTCATTTTGAATATTATTACAACCTTGATATTTACAAGGCATTAGTAGAAACTATTATCTGAGCTTGTATTGATTAAATATAAGGAAATTTGTGTCTGATAAGGATTTGGTTTGGTCTGGATGCCTTAGCACTGGATTGTAAATACTCTTTTTGCTTTTCATTTGGAGGTCTGAAATCACATTACATAATTTGCTGAATTTGGACAAAGTAAATTTTCCTTCAGTTTTTTTGCCAGCCTGTCATCGCGCCATATATTTTATTGTATTTGGTTATTCGTAAAAGAATGTTTCTAGCCTATGACAATGACAATTGATGTAGTATTTGCAGAAGAATGTTTTAGCCTTTGTTGATATATATATATATATATATATATATATATATATATATATATATATATATATATATATATATATATATATATATATATATATATATATATATATATATATATATATATATATATATATATATATATATATATATATATGTTAAAAATATTTGTATGTAGAATAGTCCCACATCGACTATATCACGTAATTAGTTATAATCTCTATATATAATAAAGTCTTCATAATGCTTTTCAAAACACACGGTTTAATCTAAATGTCTCTTAGTCTCTTAATTCAACTTAGTATCTAGTGCCTACTAAGAGACAATTCTTCGCCGTTCTTTACCCGGTTGACCCACTGTCTTTCAGTGAGAAATATTTTTTTTACAAACCGTGTCATCACTCCGGTTTGTCTCTCACTTTCTAAAATTCTCCAGTAACTGCCCTGTCGCCGTTACTGTTTCGGCAACCTTCCGGTGACGTTCCAGAAAATCGACCCCATCATCCGACTCGCCGCTCTCCGATTCTGCCGTCACACCATTCTCTGCAGTCAGCAACTCACTCACGTGCTCTCACGCGCCACCACTGTCTTGTGCGTGCAAGCGCGTCTGTCGGTCGATTCCGGCGGTTATTCCGTCGGTCAGCTTGTCTCACTGCACTTTTTCCATAACACCTAACCTCCCTGCGCAATACCAAGCCTTCTCCACTTGCTATGAGGTTTGGCAAAAGGCCAAAAAAGTCTTCTCCAACGACGTTCATTGTCTATACAATGTTATCCTCAAACTCGATACACTGAAGTTGGAAAATATGAATATGTAAGCCTATCTGAGTAAGCTTGATGCCTTGAAAGCAAGTTATGCAACCCTTATGCCTTACGCAAAAGATGCAACAGCTCATGCCGAACAACAGAGTAAATTTTTCATGGTCATGACACTTAAAGGACTACCACCAAAACTTGATTCCGTTCGTAACCAGATTTTATCAGGTACTACTGTTCCTAACTATGATGCAGTTAGTGAACAACTGTTGCGCTTGGCTACATCTCATTCGTTTGGTCCGGTTTCCCCTACATCTATTGCTGCTCCCACACCAGGTGACACTTCCGCCCTTGTATCTCTTGGCAATATTAGAATCGCCTTCGAGGAGGGTCATCCAACTCCAAACCTCGTCCCAAGTGTGACCATTGTAATCGACTTGGGCATACTATCGATCGTTGTTGGAAGCTGCATGGCAAACCTCCACGCCATGTAAATGCAACTCCAATTGATAACCCGGACACTATGCAGACTTCACCTTCTCTTCAGAATCGTATGCCAAGCTATGAAGATTTTCTCAGGTGGTGTCAGACTAACCAGACCTCTGGTACCATGACTTCGATTGCACACACTGGTAATTTATCTGTTTGCTTCTCTCAATCATCTCCTCTTGGTCCTTGGATCCTCGATTCTGGTGCGTCTGATCATGTTACCGGTAATAAAGGTCTTTTCTCTTTCCTCTCTACCTCTGGTTTCTTACCGAGTATAATTGCCGTAAATGGTTCTCAAATCCGATCCCAAGGAATTGGTACTATTCAAATTCTACCATCTCTCTCTGTTAATTTTGTCCTATATGTGCTTGATTGCCCATTTAATTTACTGTCAGTCAGTCGTCTAACTCGTTCAGTTAATTGTTCTATCACTTTTACTAACTGTAATGTTACTCTGTAGGATCGAAGTTCGGGACATACGATTGTCGTCAGATGTGATTCTCAAGGCCTTTACTAATTCTCTACGTCCTCTACCACATGCTCCACCACAAATTCTCCACTCATTATACATGCACAATTAGGCCATCTAGGTCTTCCCAAGCTACAAAAGTTGGTGCCCATTTTATCTAAATTATCCACTTTATATTGTGAGTCTTGTCAGTTAGGGAAACAAACTCGTAGTCACTTTTCCGATCAAGTCAATAAACGGGTTGCGTCCCCTTTTGCTTTAGTTCACTCTGATGTTTGGGGTCCCTCACGTACCGTGTCTACTTTTATAACATTTGTTGATGACTTTTCACGTTGCACGTGGCTATTTTTAATAAAGAACAAATCTGAATTGTTTTCTATTTTTGAACAATTTTATTGCGAAATAAGAACCCAATTTGGTTTGTCTATTCGTACCTTAAGAAGTGATAATGCACGTGAATATTTATCCGAACAATTTCAAACTTATATGTCATCCAATGGTATTCTGCACCAACCATCTTGCCCTCACACACCCCAACAAAATGGGGTAGCCGAACGCAAAAATCGACATCTCGTAGAAACCACTCAGACCCTACTTCTCCATGGTAGTGTTCCTCTCCGATTTTGGGGGATGTGCTGCTCACGGCATGTTACTCATAAATCGCATCCCTTCATCAGTCCTTAATAATAAAATCCCTCATTCAATCCTGTTTCCAAACTCTCCTCTTCACCTAATTCCTCCTCGAGTCTTCGGGTCTACGTGTTTTGTACACAATCTCTCATTTGGTCTTGATAAATTATCAGCTCGATCACTAAAGTGTGTCTTTCTTGGTTATCATTGATCCCAAAATGGTTATCGTTGCTTCTCACATACTCTACAACGATACCTCGTATCAGTCGATGTTACCTTCTTCGAGTTTGTTCTATATTTTTAGTCCAGCCAAGTAACTCCGGAACCCCTTCAGGAAAGTACTCCCACACCTCTTCCGGATGTCTTATTTCCCATTATCCTCCATCATTCTAGGGAACCTGACCCACTAGAAACCCCTACGGTTGCCACCCCCACTTCTCGCCCACTCCAAACATATCAGCGTCGCCAACCCATGTCTGTCGAACCTATCCCTGAGGTAGCACCTGTCCCTGAGGTCATTGCAGATTCTCCTCCGACGCCTTCGTCATCATCGGATCCGATCCTGCAACCTGAGTCTGATCTTCCAATTGTCTTTCGAAAAAGTATACGTCAAACACGAAATCCTTTTCCACATTATATTGATTTATGTTATCATCGTCTTTCCCCTTTGCGGTATACTTGTTTGTCTTCTTTGTCTTCTGTTTCTATTCCTAACACTCCAGGTGAAGCATTATCTCATCCTGAGTGGAGGCAAGCAATGATAAATGAAATGTGTGCTCTTCAAAGCCGTGGTACTTGGGAACTGATACCTCTACCCTCTGGCAAATCTGTAGTAGGTTGTCGTTGGCTTTATACAGTGAAGGTTGGACCAAATGGTAAGATCGATCGTTTTAAAGCTTGCTTGGTAGCCAAAGAATACACTCAGATTTTTGGGTTGGATTATAGTGATACTTTCTCGCCTGTAGCCAAGATGGCATCTGTTAGACTTCTAGCCATTGCAGCCATTCGACATTGGCCTCTTCATCAACTTGACATCAAAAATGCCTTTTTACTTGTTGATCTTGAAGAAGAAGTATATATGGAGCAACCACCCGGGTTTGTTGCTCAGGGGGAGTCCTCGAATATGGTTTGTAGGCTACACAAGTTCCTTTATGGTCTTAAGCAATCTCTGAGAGTTTGGTTTGGCAGATTCAGTACTGTAGTACAACAATTTAGTATGGTCCGTAGTAAAGCTGATCATTCTGTGTTTTATCTTATTGTATATGAAGATGATATTGTCATAATTGACAGTGGTCAACACGGGATACTCCAGTTTAAACAACATCTCTCGAATCAATTTCAGACAAAAGATCTTGGTAAACTCCGCTACTTCTTGGGAATTGAGGTGGCCCAATCTAGAGATGGTTTGGTGATTTCCCAACGGAAATATGCTATGAATATTTTAGAAGAAACAAAGTTGTTGAATGCTAAACCAGTTGATACTCCTATGGATCCAAGTGTCAAACTGCTACCCAATCAGGGGGAGCCTTTATCTGACCCAGGAAGGTATAGGAGATTGGTTGAAAAGTTGAATTATCTCACAGTCACTCGTCCAGACATTTCTTTTGCAGTCAGTGTGGTAAGCCAGTTCTTAAATTCTCCTTGCCGGGAACACATGGATGTTGTTGTTTGGATTCTAAGATACATCAAGTGTGCTCCAGGAAAAGGCCTTGTGTATGAAGACAAAGGACATACTCGATAGTTGGATACTCTGATGCCGATTGGGCATGGTCACCCATTGAGAGATTATCCACCTCTGGGTATTGTGTACTTGTTGGAGGAAACCTTATATCCTGGAAAAGCAAGAAACAAAATGTAGTTGCAAGATCAAGCGTTGAGGCAGAGTATAAAGCCATGGCGATGACAACATGTGAACTTATTTGGTTAAAACAATTGCTCAAGGAACTTTAAAATTGAAGAAGCAAGACCAATGACGCTTATTTATGATAATCAAGCTGCATTGCACATTGTTTCAAATCTGGTCTTCCATGAGTGGACCAAACATATTGAGCTTGACTGTCACTTTGTCTGAGAGAAGATCGAGTCAGGCGATATCACCACAAGCTTTGTCAACTCGAATGATCAATTGGCAGATGTATTTACAAAATCACTGCGAAGTCTCAGAAATAATTATATATGTGGCAAGTTTGGTGCATTTGACATTCGAGTTGACACATCGACTATATCATATAATTAGTTGTAATTTCTCTATATATAATAAAGTCTCTGTAGTGCTTTTCAAAACACACAGTTTAACCTAAATGTCTCTTAGTCTCTCTTAATTCAACTGCCTTCAACAGTTAAACCTTGTTCTCAAGGATCTCAATATCAATATGCCTAAGCAGATAATGTATTTTCCCAAATATGAATTTATGGAACACACATTGATAGAAGAATATATATTGCATACTTTTTGGACTGTTTAACTTGCCTTAGATAATGGTGAATATATATTGCATACTTTTTGGACTGTTTAACTTGCCTTAGATAATGGTTAAATTACTGATGAAACTAGTCTAAATCTTCTTCCATGTCAACTTTAATTGTATAAAAGCATGTTTCTTGTGCTAACTACTTTGTATTACATCATCAGGATATCATCCGCAAAATGCTTTTATTGGCATTAGATGACCCTCATCGGAAAATTTGCACGGCTATTGGTATGGCGGTGGCGTCCATCGCAATGTATGACTGGCCCGAGTTATGGTCAGATTTGTTGCCATTTCTCCTGAATTTGATCAACAATCAAACCAACTTGAATGGAGGTAAACAATTCATTCTGAGTCGGAGATTTGTGGGATTTTATACGACACGTTTAAAACTATGGTTGATTGTGGAAAAGGCTTAGGTGAAAGTTGGGTTCCATTTGCACGTAAAGTTTATATATTGAACATTATATGATAAGCACACTTTTACTCAATGAGATGAGAAAAAAAACTGAATATTATTGATTTGCCAATTATAGACTACTACTGTACATCAACCCTATTAATTGCTAGTCTAGAAAAAAGGAAATTGAATTAGCCCTCATAACTGAAACAGTATCATGACAGTTATGTGTAGAAGAGTAAAAGTAAAGTATGAAATATTTATCCCAACATAGTGCGAGTTTGGCTTACCTCATCTTTACAAAATCCAAAATTGGCTTGTAAGGTGAGGGCACTGAGGGGTGTCATTCTATGAACTTAGTGCATGGATATAAACGGTGAGCAGCCACGGTTCGATTGATAGGCTCTGATACCATATTAGAGTTTGATCTAACTCATTCTTATAAAACCGGCTTGTAAGGTGAGTGGTGTCATTCTTTATAAACCATTTGTGGGCTCTATCTTTTAACAATGTGAGACTTAAGTTTTTTTCCAATACACCCCTTTACGCCCAACACTATTGAGTTTGTTGCGTGGATATAAATCGTGGGTGACCTGAATTATCGATATGCGAGACTTAATTTTTTCAATTAATCCCTTGTGCCCAATACTATTGGGTTTGGTGTGCATATAAACAGCGGGTGGCTCGAATGGATAGGCTCGTGATACCATGATAGAATTAGAGTTTGACTAATTCATCTTTACAAAACCGGCTTGTAAGGTGAAAAATATCGCTTTATATAAACTCTTTACAATCTACATTACTTGCAATGCTTTGTGATAGGAACCCGAATTTAAAGAAGGAAAGAAACTGTACCCGAATTTAAAGAAGGAAAGAAACTGTTTTATTGAATTGAAAGTAGATGTATTATAGAAGCTAACCTCTAACCCCAGTTAGAAGCTCCGAAGATAAGGGGCATTTATCTCTTTACTCAAACCATAATGTTTCTAACTGAATAATGTTGAATGCCCTTCCACTTGCCACCCTCCTTAATATAGCTGCATTTCTTCTCTAACAGATTTACCACATGAGCAGTTTGTAACCAATTCCATACTTGGTCCATTTGTTGGTCTAAGGAAAGGCACAAATTCAGCATCTAACAGACTAACACTTTGAAAGACCCACTTTTGATAGTGATATGGTTTTGAACAGTGGTACTGGTTAGACACCCCCCATCTTACAAGTTGTTTTCGAAAGGTTGAGTTAGGTCCAACTCAATTTCTAATATGGCAGTAGTGCCTTTGTTGTAAACCTGGGTCACGCTCCAGATGCTCGGTCCTTGGCATGAGGGTGTGTCTTGAGGCATGGTAGTTAAAATTGAGATTTTACGCAAAATCAGGAAGAGGAAGTAAAATCGTAAATCGTGGAATCGTAACATTAATGGTATCAGAGTTATTAATTTCGGATAGCGGAGCGGAGCGGCCGACCCCAAAAATGGGATAGCGGGATATCTACCTATATATTTAATATGTAAAACTAAACAAATAACACAACATCCATAAAAGATTTATAATATCAAATATCAAAGTACAATGCTTCAAACTATTCCTCCAATTCAAAAACAAACATAGAAATCAAATGTAATTGTTAGGGTTGATGGAGGAAGAGCGCCGGAGTTTTGAAGACTAAAATGAGCGGTCGTTAGGGTTGATGGAGAAGACGAGCAGAGAGAAGACGAAGCAGAGAGAGGACGAAACTAATCCTAAATGTAATCGGGAGCTATTTTGACCCTTTCAAACTTAAGGGTAAAATTGTAAATGCACAAAAAAAGTAGAAAAAGAAAACCAGTCAAATCGCTCCATGCGGGTAGCTCCCTACGACCCGCTCCACAAGATCCCGTCTATCGCGCCAGCAATTGCAAACTGCCATCCGCACCATGAAACCGTCGCGTAGGGTGGTTGCTCAGGCCGAAACTCCCGGGATAGCGCCAATAGTGGCCGCTATTAATAACTCTGAATGGTAAGATCATACAAAATTCTAAAACTCATGTTTATGCATACAAAATTCATACATGTGCATATAAAATAGCATTAGTAAGAAAAAGAAAACCTTAAATCACTTGAAATACCGGTGTAAATTTAAATTCAAAAGCATAGCTCTAAAGTAAGATAATTAAAACCTTAAATTATGAAGCAGGAACTCCCCAAACACGACACCGACACAACGACATCGATAATAATTTGAAAAAAAATAAATTAAACGTAATTACAAGTGGTGCAAGTGTCTGATACCATCACAAGCACGCCTTTTTTTCAGAAGTGTCGATGCTATATTTAAATCACACTTCAAATACTTGTATAAATTTAAATTCATTCATAAGCATAATTTGATAGAATCAACTGATAATTAAGCTGAAGATTGGGAAGAATCCCCTTTGATTATAAACAATGGCATCACTTCGAGGGTCTGCCTACCTCCCAATGTCAAAAGGCCCTATTACTCTCAAATTACAAGAGATAATCCTCTTTTTAATCCACCTATTTATTTATAGGAAGCATGTCTTATTTGACCTAACTAAGTCTCAACAAAACTACTAACAAACCATTAACAAATTACTTCCTCTGTCTCTTAAAAGGTGTCTTATTTGGGCAATGCGCGTTTCTTAAGAAAATGATTAGAGGTATTGATTTTAATGATAAAATTAATATCATTTATTAAAATAATTAACTGTAGTTAATAGAGTAGTTGAATAAAGTGAAAGTTAATAAATAGGGGGATAGTAGTGGAAAAGTAATAATAAATGCTGCATTGGTATTGTAAAGGGACAATTATTTTGAGACAGAGAAAAAGTGCAAATGAGAGTATGAGACACTTTTTATGAGACTGAGGGAGTAACCCAACTACTTAACGAACAAGTAACAACTTAACAAACACTACTAAACCTATCAATGCCCCTCCACCCCCAAACATTCTGTCCTCAAGGTGAAAGTAATGTAAACCCAAAAATGTAGATTTCAACATTTCTTATAATTTAGTAGTTGCCATAGATTTTCCACCTGGTCCCTATTGAAAAAAAGATGAAGACTCAATTCGATTTGGCGTGTTAAGCAGCTGCTGAAAAGTGCCCAAATCCAATACCAATGCATTAGTTGTTATGTTGTTTGGACTTGTGCTCTTTTCCACTAATATGAATATGACTCCTTAGGGTCACATATTGGATTCAACTAGCTTTTTCTTTTCACCCATTCTTGATTCTTTTATTTGTTTTCCAGCCAATCTTGTCTCTTGTTTATCGTTTGGATTTGTTTCCGCCCTTCTCCCTTCTGGCTGTTTGCTTTTATTTTGAGATGCCGCTGGTTCTTTCATCTCATCTTTTTCGGGGGTCTGCACCTCCTTTGATTCTTTTTCCTTACAAGATTCTACCTCTGTCACTATTTCTTTTTCCTTAGAATCTTGGAAATAAACTCCAATTTCTCTTTTAAATTTTATGATGAAAGCCTTCTCAAAGGGAAAGAACTCAAGTCCCATACAAACCCGTGATAGCAATTTTTCCTCACGAATCTTTAGTGCTTCAAGGTACTGATGGATCAACCACCAATAAGCATCACTGCTTCCGTCAAATCATGGCATCACTTCTGCCACCATGTTCAAGTCAAAAATTCCCACACATCCGCGAATCTTCTTGGATCAGAATTGCTCTGATACCAATTGATAGAACCAGTTGGTCGTTATAACTGAAAGTGGGAAGAATCCCCTTTGATTACAAACAATGCCAGCACTTCGAGGGTCTGTCTACTTCTCAATGCCAAAAGGCCCTATTACTTTCAAATTACAAGAGATGATCCCCTTTCTAATCCACCTATCTATTTATAGGCAACATGCCTTATTTGACCTAACTAACTCTCAACAAAACTACTAACTAACCATCGACTAATTAACTAACTAACCAACTAATTAACTAACAAGTAACAACTTAATTAGCAATAGTAGACCTATCATAATCACATAAACGTTTCAAAGATCGTAAGATTTTATGATTCAACGATTATCAGGAGGGATTCTAATAGGGTATTAGAGTTATGCGTATAGCCATAATCATTGAGTATCACATTAGGTAATAATATATGTGGTGGCCATTCTTTACTTTGCAAGTTGGTTTTGTGGGGTTGAGTTAGGTTCAACCCAAATTCTAATACACTATTTTTCCTCTTGAATTGGCAATTTGTTTGCTCTATGTTTTTCTTAGCATACTTATGTAACACTTGAATCAATTGCCACAAGTTTCATATTCTAGATGATAAACCATTGAAGTAATTAAGTTTGACTTCAATGCTGGTAACTAGTTGAATCATTCACTTTCCTTATTAATTTTATGGTCAATAATTGTGTTGCATTGCACGATCTAGTTGAATTTCTATATGGTAAGCCACTTTTTATTTTTTCTTATAATTTTATTCTAGTGCATGGAGCTATGAAATGCTTGGTTCTTCTCTCTGCTGACTTGGGTGATAACATGGTCCCAACATTAATACCTGCTTTGTTCCCAAGTTTGCTGACCATTGTATCCTCTCCACAGGTTATAATTTTGATTATTTTTCTGTTAACCTTCTATCTATCCAGTTTTATGATTCTCATATGCTTTAATTATGTTAGCATAATACTCTTAAGCTACTTTTTTTTTCCAAAGCTGTTTGGCTTGGAAGGAAGGATTTAAGTTGCTGTTGAGAGGAGGACTATATGAATGAAAGTGCATATGTTAAGATGAAAAACATTCCCCGACCTTTCCATAGTGATTCTGTTAGGATATAAAATAAAGGAAAATTAGAGTAGTTTAGAGTTGTAAGAGCAATTAGTTGGATAGTTTGGAAGTCTTTATACAGGCCTCAATTGGTGGTCTATTTAAAGATTTGCTAACCAACTGATCAGTCACATAACAGAGTGATCAACTGATTATCAAATTGTTCAAACAACTCTAATTCGTCTTTATCCTATATCCTAGCATGCTCTCTCTCTTCCCATTGACATCTTTCCCATAGGAGCATATTGAATGATTTGACAGGTCTTGTTTATAGATAGTAGTCTCCTTTTTGTCTTCCTGCATTTTGCATATTCGTTTTTCCATTTGTGCTGAATTTCTTGAAGCAAAATTTAACAATGTATAGTAATTTATAGCAATTTAATTTTTGACAAACAATTCTTGATCTATGCATTATTTTTAGAATAGAAGAACAAGAAAATAAAGGAAAATAACCAATCTTCTGTTTATATTGTAATTTCTGCCTCTTCTGTCACATGACAATTTTTTCTTTATTTTTTTCTCCATGCAGATATATGACTCATACATACGAACCAAGGCCTTTTCAATAGTCTATTCTTGCACATCTATGCTGGGGGCGATGAGTGGTGTTTATAATGTATTTTCTTGCCACTAAGTGACTGTCTACAGTTCTCGTTGATTGTTGGTTTACTGTATTTTACTTTTTAATAACATAACTTGTCATGATGTACTGTTTAGGCAGAAACAAGTTCTCTAGTAGTTCCTTTGCTTAAACCATGGATGGAACAATTTTCTTCTATTCTAAAAATTCCAGTTCAGTCTGAAAATCCAGATGATTGGAGTATCAAAATGGAGGTTGGTTTGGCTTACTAAAAGTTGATTTCCACAATTTCCCTAGTTTCCTACATTATAACATGATATTGCATCTTTCTTCTTTAAGGTTCTGAAGTGCTTGAATCAATTTATTCAGAACTTTTCAAGTCTAATTAAAAGTGAATTTGAGGGTATGTTTATTCCCATAGTTTTGTTCCTCAGCCCTTGTCTTTAGTTCTATTTTTGTTGTTTGTTTGACAAGATGCTGTTTGTTGTAGTTGTATTGCAACCGTTGTGGAATACATTTGTCTCCTCTTTGAGAGTTTATGAACTGGCATCTATTGAAGGAACAGAAGATTCATATGAGGGAAGATATGATTCAGATGGCTCAGAAATAAGCCTTGAATCATTTGTTATCCAGGTGACAATAAAAGCAGCTTTTGATGTTTATTACTTTCATGGTTTGATATAATGTAAGTGATATTTCACTATTTGGCACGTTTTCATGTTGGAGTTAACTGACTTATTTTATCTGCAACGGGTGATTTCTTCAATCAGTAATGGTTCAGCGGCTTTTTGTTTCCTTTTTATTTTATCAAGTTCATGGCCTTCCCATGTTAGTGGCCTGCCCATGTTAGTGTTTGCCAGCAGGTTAATGAACCTGAATATTGTTTGTTATCTTGATCGCTATACGTTAAAACCCCTATCCTTATGATTCATATTTTAATTGAGCCTCTATATTGGATCTATATCTTTTGTTAAGAGTCTCACATCGGACAATATATAGCCTGAACATGTGTTTATAAATGGGGGCAATCCTCACCCTACAAGCCGGTTTTGTAGGGTCGAGTTAGGTCCAACCCACACATTCTAAGATGGTATCAGAGTCTCATCTAAGATTCATTGGGCCACCCACTATTTAGTTCCTCGCACCAGCCCTAACCCTACAAGCCGGTTTTATAGGGTCGAGTTAGGCTCAATCCACACATTCTAAAATCTTCTATTAATGTTTCATAATTGTTTCATTCAGTTATTACATAGAAATATCGAAAATTACAATTTATACACTTAATAATTCAAGAGTCATTATTACACTATCCACATTCCACCCATAGACGTCTAAGTTGCGTTGCTGTACTCTCTATTTGAAAGAAGTATACTCACTCCTTAAGAGTAATGTAGGACATAACATTTTTATTTGTACGAGCATTGTAAGTCCTTTATTTTCCTCTCTTTATAACTCTAAGCATTATCTCGTTTAGTCTTGAACTCTTTTTATCGACTTAAGGATTTTTTGATGAATCAACGAGTTTTTTGGTGAAGTCCCCAATCCAATAGGAAGGGTGTTCACACTTGAAGTCCCGAAATGGGTAGAAGGGTGTTCATAATAGAGTAATCATATAGCTGTTTGTTTATAATAGTTAATTGTAGTTTGTAATAGGTATATTCTACAGTTAGCTTAGCTTGATGAGCTGGCAGTGACAGCTGTCACTGCAGCCTCTATATAACAATCTAATTGTAACAAACTCATCTAAGAGAGTTTCTATTGAATCAATAACAAACTATTATTCTCTATGTTCAATTTATCTTTCTCTATTATGGTATCATGAGCTTATGATCCATGGCGTCTCATGTAAATTCACCGTCCACTTCGAACGATGAAAACTCATCGTTGCAATAACCGATTTTGTCTACTCTGAAGAATACGTTCAGGGCGTTCGCACATCAGATTAACATCAACTCAATAATAACAACTTTCTCTCATGGAAGCAGCAAGTCGAAGGTATCATTCGCATTCACAAGCTTCATCGGTATCTGGTGAATCCTGTGATTCCTCCGCGTTTTCTCACGACGGCGGATTGTGAATCTGACTCTGAAAATCCGGCGTACCAGGTTTGGTATCGAGAGGATTCTCTTCTCTTCACGTGGCTTCTAACGACTCTCTCTGATGTCGTTCTTCCTCGCGTCGTCAAGTGCGTTCATGCTCATGAAGTATGGTCCGTCATCGATCAATTTCAGAGAACACAGATCTATGCGAAATCGTGCCAGCTTAGGTATGAGCTTCGTACTATGCAGAAAGGAGATCGTATGATTGCGCAGTATCTCGGTCGCATTCAACAAATCATTGATATCTTGGAGTCAATTGGTGATCCGGTGTCGCACCGTGATCAGTTGGAAACGATCGTCGACGGTTTACCACTGGAGTATCAAGCCCTAGCTTCGATTATTCAGTATCGTGACGAACCTTGTGATATTGTTGTTGCTGAAACGATGCTTCTTTCTCATGAAGAAGGCTGGATCGTACTCCTCGTGCTGCATCTCAAGATTCTCTCTCTGTTAATCTCACTCAAGGTACTGTGTCTCCTGCTGCTAACTCTACTGTTGCTACCTTGGCTGAGTCCACTACACCTGAATCTGCACCACAGTTTGAGCATTCTCATGGTAGACGTGGTGGCAGATCATCTCACTCTAGAGGAGGAGGTCGTAATGGTGGCAAAAGTCGTGTTCAATGCCAGATTTGTGCTAAAACTGGTCATGATGCTAAAGTCTGCTACTATAGACTTGCAGTTCAACCTTCCAATGCAAATAAGTGGCGTGTTCCTATGGTGCCTATACCTTCTCCCTGGTTTCAAGGTGCCTCTTCTCAACAAGCTGCGAATCAGTGGATTGCACCACAGTTTGTTCAGTGGCGTGCCCCTACTGCTGATGTGAGACCAGATAAACGACCTCAAGCTTATTTAGCTGGTTCAGAAACATGTTCCAGTCAACCAGCAACATCTCCTTGGTATCCAGATTCAGGAGCCACTCATCATGTCACTTACTCTGCAGAGAATTTTCTAGACAACATTTCCACCCTTGGATCTGACCAAGTGATTCTTGGCAATGGTCAAGGTCTGTCTATCACCTCTATTGGTAACACTTCTTTTCACTCACCACACAAGCCACACATTACATTTACATTGAAAAATTTGCTACTAGTGCCTAAGATCATCAAGAATCTCATCTCTGTTAGCCAGTTTGCCAGGGATAATCAAGTTTATTTTGAATTTCACCCTGATACCTGCCTTGTGAAATCTCAGGCTACTTCTGAAGTTGTGCTTCAAGGTGCTTTTGGAAAAGATGGACTCTACTCATTTGGATCTCTACAAGCTTTATCTTTTCCCTCTGCTAGAAATAATGCACCTGTTGTTCACACACTCACTAGCAATAATTCTGATTCCAGTACTTTCAATTCTAGCTCAAATAAAGGTGCCAATTGTTTAGGGCCTTCATTGTATGAGCAATGGCATTGAAGACTAGGACATCCTCATCATGAGGTCCTTAAGTCTGTTTTAAACAAGTCTAACCTTCCTATTCCTCAGCAATCTAAGTTTGATTTTTGTGTTGCATGCTGTTTGGGTAAGGTACACAAGCTACCATCTACTGCTTCCACTACCACTTATAATGCTCCCTTTGATCTTATTTTTGCTGATGTGTGGGGGCCTGCACCTATGTGTCTACTACTGGTTTCATATATATGCTCACATGTGTTGATGCACACACTAAATTCACACGGATCTTTCTACTCAAACTGAAATCTGATGTAGTTTCAGTTTTTACTAATTTTCTGGCATATATCCATACTCAGTTCAATTGCACTGTCAAGATACTGCAAACTGATGGAGGAGGTGAATTTCAGCCTCTCTCACCTTTACTCACTAAACAGGGCACCATACATAGGCTCACACGCCCTCACACACACCATCAAAATGGGTCTGTTGAAAGAAAACACAGGCATGTGGTGGAAACTGGTCTGACAGTGCTTGTTCATGCATCCCTTCCTTAAAGTTTTGGGATCATGCATTCCTGGCAGCAACTTATCTTGTTAACAGGATGCCAACTTCTGTTTTGGATATGGATTCTCCCTACAAAGTTCTGTATCAGACTGAACCTGACTACAACTTTCTTAAAATCTTTGGGTGTGCCTGTTATCCATACCTCAGACCCTATAACTCTAATAAGTTTGCTTATCATACTAAGGAGTGCTTATTTTTAGGGTATTCTGCTAACATAAGGGATACAAATGCTTGGCTGCTGATGGTAGACTCTTTATCTCAAAGGATGTAATATTCAATGAGATAAGATATCCTTATTTGGATATGTTCCCTACTAAATCTGCATTAACTCCTTGTTCCCAACCTGTTTCTGTGCCTGTTCCCTTATGTTTTTCCCAGCCATCTCAAAACCTAGCACCTATCCCATCTTCCTCTACACCTGCTTCTCCTGCACTCACTTCCCCTGCAGTTAGCTTTCCTGCTTCTGCATCTGTCCAGGAATCATCTGCTTCTCTTTCTAATTCAAGATCACCACAGCAAATGTCTAACACTCTGCATTCTTCTCTTGATCACTCCCAACAATTTTTCATCTTCTACTGCATCCTCATCTCATGCTGCTTCCTCTGCTAATGTATCTGTTTCTCCCATCATTCCTGTTCATCCTTTTAATGTTCACCCTATGCTCACTCATGCCAAGGATGGCATTGTAAAACCTAGACTCCATCCTACTCTCTTACTCACTGAGTTTGAACCTACATCCTATAAAACTGCTCTCAAGGATCCCAAATGGCTTGAAGCCATGAAAGTTGAACACACATCTCTTCTGCACAATCAGACTTGGACTCTTACCACTTTACCTCCCAACAGGAAAGCTATTGGGTGCAGATGGGTCTTCAGGATAAAGCAGAATCTTGATGGCACCATTCAGAAATACAAGGCCAAGTTAGTTGCCAAAGGGTTTCATCAGGTTCATGGCTTTGATTTTCAGGAGACATTCTCTCTTGTAGTCAAACCAGTCACAATTAGAGTTATTTTAACTCTTGCTATCTCCAACCAGTGGCAGATCACTCAATTGGATCTCAACAATGCCTTTTTAAATGGTATTTTGACTGAAGAAGTCTATATGCAGCAGTCCCTTGGGTTTGTCAACTCTGATCCTACCCTTGTTTGTAAGCTAAACAAGGCTATCTATGGCTTAAAACAAGCCCCTAGGGCCTGGTTCGAGAGACTGACCTAAGCTCTTCACAGTCTTGGCTTTGTCACCAGTAAATGTGACCCCTCTTTGTTTACTTTGACAACCTCCTCATACACCATTTTTATGTTAGTGTATGTAGATGATATAATTGTCACAGCAACTCTCCCACTCATATCCAAAAGCTGGTGAATCAATTACATGCTCAATTTTCTCTTAAATAGTTGGGTTCTCTTCATTATTTTCTTGGTATTGAAGTCACTCAACTCTCTAATGGCACTCTCTTCCTATCTCAAACTAAGTACATCAAGGATCTCTTGGACTAACATGAGTGAAGCTAAAAGTTTGCCTACTCTTGTGGTGTCTAATCTGAAACTGACCAAGCAAGGATCCGACTATTTGCCAGACCCCACTTATTATAGGTCTGTGGTTGGAACACTGCAGTATGCTACCATCACAAGACCTGAAATTAGCTTTTCTGTCAACAAAGCTTGTCAGTTTCTATCTCAGCCTATGTAGAGTCACTGGGTGACTGTTAAGAGAATTCTGAGATATCTCAGAGGCACCATTCATCATGGTCTGCACTTTCTTCCTGCAAATCCCCTCAAACCTTTGCCAATTACTGTTTTTTCTGATGCTGACTGGGGATCAGATGCTGATGACAGGAAATCTACATCAGGTTCATGCGTTTATCTAGGCCCTAATCTCATTTCCTGGTGGTCTAAAAAGCAGACACTTGTAGCCAGATCCAGCACTGAGGCTGAATACAGAAGCCTGGCTAGCACTACTTCTGAAGTGCTTTGGGTACAATCCCTCCTAACTGAGTTGCAGATTTCATCTTTGCCTCCAACTCTCTACTGTGATAACTTAAGTACTGTATCTCTGTCTCATAACCCTGTGCTTCATGCCAAAACCAAACACATGGAGTTTGATATCTTCTTTCTCAGAGAAAAGGTTTTAAATAAAACCTTCTGTGTAAAGCATATTCCTGCTGAGTTTCAAAGTGCTGATATCCTAACCAAACCCCTTTCTGCCCTCAGATTTCTTGCTCTCAGAGATCACTTAAGGGTTGTTGACAAGTCTTCTATTGCCAATGGGCATCCCAAGACAAGAAGCACCATTTGAAGGGGAAATAATAGAGTAATCATATAGCTGTTTATTTATAATAGTTAATTGTAGTTTGTAATAGATATATTCTATAGTTAGCTTAGCTTGATGAGCTGGCAGTGACAACTCTCACTGCAGCCTCTATATTAACAATCTAATTGTAACAATTTCATCTAAGAGAGTTTCTGTTGAATCAATAACAAACTATTATTCTCTCTCTATGTTCAGTTTATCTTTCTCTATTAGTTCACACTTAGCACTGCTTGTGACCTTGAGAGTTGAGAGTTATATTCAGAAAAAAGAAGAAAATTATCCTTAGCAGCCTCAATTGAAATTTAGTTGTTCACCACTCCGTATAAGCTTGTTTATATTAAAAAGGACTGATGTTTCCCATTACCAAGAGGTTCGTTTATGCCTATGTATATGTGTGGAAGTATAATATTGCATTTTAGGTTGATCTTATGATCCATTTATGGTCCTTTGGTTTACGATATTTCTTCCCCAACCCGATTCTAGGTTGAATATCGATTTTGACACCATTGGCTGCCTTTATTAACCTTTATTCAAAATGAATGACAGGTCAATGTAATTTAAGCATGTCATAGGGGATAGTGTAATTTACTTTTTAAATAATCTGCCGGCTCTGGTCTGTCTAAACATGTATTGATCAGGGATTGTTTTATGCTTACGTGTCCTTGATTTCTTTATATAACTTTGAGCTATTTTTTAATACAGCTGTTTGAACTTCTGTTGACCATTGTGGGTAATTCAAGACTAGGAAAGGTTTGTTTTAGAACATTCTTGAAGTATTTTATTTTTTGATAATTATGTTCTATTCTATTGCACAATTATTGTGATGTGGCTTGTGCTTATTTTATAGGTGGTTGCAGCTAATGTCAAAGAATTGGTGTACTATACAATTGCTTTTCTTCAAATGACAGAACAGCAGGTAAAACATTTGAGTCTTAACGCATACTTCTAACTTTTTATTCGTCATTATTTAGTTCAGCAGTATCCTAATGTATTAATGATGCTTAGTATTAAATACCGATGTAATCCAGACGCCAGTTCTCTTATATCATATGCCTTCTTGTTTTCCTGTTTATCTCAACAAAGAATAATCAGTCAACCATTATGGCCTGCTGAGTCACCTCTCCTAAACCAAACAGCCATTCTCATTTCACTATGCCTTATGGATGCTACTTAGCAACTAACTCTCAATAGGCTCTACCACCTCAATTACTTTCTTGGGCCTTATTATCTTTACCTTCCAACCTTGTGGCCCGTGAGATAGTTGGTTTAACATCTCTCCTCTAGGCCATCTCTCAAAATCTGGTGGATTGATGTTAAACATCATATGGCACAACACAACAAAAATTATGGTGATATATAATAACGCCGTTATGATGTTTTACTTAGGTGGTGGAAAATAGACTTAGGTGGTTTGGGCATGTAGAGAGAAGACTTGTAGATTATGTGGTAAGACGAGTAGACCAGATGGAGAGAAGTCAAACACGTAGAGGAAGAGAAAGACCTAGAAAAACTATAAGAGAAGTTATTAAGAAATTTTTAGAGATTAACGATTTGGATAGAAGCATAGCTCTTGATAGAATATTATGGCGAAAGTTGATCCATGTAGTCGATCTCACTTAGGGGGATAAGGCTTGGTTGTTGTTGTTGTATGATGTTCTACTTGTTTATTCCTGTTATGAATTGCACATTGGATGAGATATGACCTAAAAATGTGTTTATAAGTTGAAGGCATCTCTCACTTTACAAACTTGTTTTGTAGTTCCGTCATGATGTTCTGCACTTGTTTATTTCCTGTTATGAATTCCACATTAGATGAGATATTGATGCATTAGGAAGCCTTAGGGAGTAGCAAGCCCAAAACCTAGAATAAAGAACAAAGTTGCAAGCGCAAAACTTGTTAGATAAGCACTGGAATCCACCAGAAAGAGAAAAGAACTCTAATTTTATTATAATGAAAGGTAATCCTTATGGCTACGCCAAAGGTCTTTAAATACACATAACAAAATAACTCTAATGGGCTTAAAGAGACCCTAATGGATTTTTAATCTAAAACATAATCAAATCTTTTAATCTAAAACGGAATCAAATTCAAAATAGAATAAAATCCTAAATAGAATTAATCCTAAATATAATCAAATCTCGAATAGAATTAAATCCAAAATAAAGTTAAATCCTAAATAAAACAAAATAGTAAATTGCTGATTTCGGGTCTGAAGCGAATTAGAATGGCTTAAAAATCCATTTCCAAAAAGGTATAATACGAGTAATTTTGACATCAGACGCCAAACTTGCGCAAATCATGCCGAATCATTCAGACGTGCGGCTTTTTCTTCGATATGCGCAAACAGCCCTCCTACATCAGTCTCCTTCACTTCAAAAGAACTCGACCCCGGGTTCTCTTCTTGATAAAGAGCTTCATATGGCTGTAGCTTGGTATAAGTACCAACTGAAAACCTCTCCTTACGCAAAAACGCCATCACATTTTCTCTCATATTGAAAACTTTAACTTCCATGCTTTTATCTCGCATAGGAGGCAAATCGTTTGGTAGCTCATCTGCGGTGAACTCCTTGAAATTCTTTCGGACCCTAGCAGTTCTTCTGGAATTGTTGTTTTCTCCTTTACCACACTCATCACCTCTTTAGTTAGTACTGGACATACAAATTTAGTTTCTTTCATAGCCTCATCAAGCTTCTTTTCATCATTACCAAGATACTAGACTTTTTTTCTCCTAGATTCTTATTAAAGTGCAAAACAGGATCCATAGCAATTTTATGTGTGTCCAATGTAAACATCATCACGTTATCCCTTCCTCGATAAGTGATATCAGTATCAAATTGCCAAGACCTACCCAGAGTTATTAATCCCGGATAGCGGAGCGGAGCGGCCGACCCCCGGAAATGGAAAAAGTGGGAATAGCGGGATCCCAGATAGCGGGATAACCTTTTATATACTAATAATTATATTATAATAATCTATAAAATATATGTCATGTAATACTAAACTAATTTCACAACACTCATAAAATATTTATAAAATCTAATGTCAAACAAAGAACAATGTTTAATCAAGATTCAAAACATAAAGATTCAAATTCAAACTTAGTACTATCATATGAAAATTCAAGCAAACATAGAAATCATGTAGCATCATCAAAATATTCCTCCAATTCTTTATCTTCAACTTCTTCAACATCTTCCTCCAATTCTTCAACTTCTTCAACATCTTCCTCTAATTCTTCATCTTCCTCTAATTCTTCATCTTCAACTTCTTCAACATTTTCCACCACTTGTTGTGCCATTGGTGGTGCTCTAGGTGTCACTGTTGCTCTTGGTGAAATTGTTGCTATGGGTGCCGTTGTTGCTTGAGAAGTACTTCCAACTTCAAGTTGCCTTGTTGTCCTCCTAGTGTAGATTATAGGTTCATTAGTCCCACTAGCATCGGCAACTTGACTCCAAGTTAAATCATGATTTGGATGAACCAAGTCTTCACCATCATCTCCTACATTTTCCATCTCTCCCACCAACCATTCGGTGTGGAAATTAATTTCGTTAAATTCCATAGGATCAATTTTATCCCGAATTTCAAACCTCTCTACCAAAGCTTGATTATACTTGATAAACACCAAGTCTTGCAATCTTTGATGTTCCAATTTATTTCTCTTCTTGGAATGAATCTAAAATACAATAATTTGAAGTATTAATTTAATAATACTTGCATGTAAGATACTTTAATATCCTAGTAAAAAATTAATACTCACATGCTCAAAGATGCTCCAATTACGCTCACATCCGGAAGCACTGCAACTCAAACTCAACACTTTAACAGTCAACAATTGCAACTTCGGAGTTTCGGCTCTATAAGACTTCCACCACTCAGCTGCAAGTAATTGTAAAAAATCATTCTATTTCCATATACATAACACAAAGTGTATCATATGTAAAAAATCAAAAAATCATTCCATCTTACCTGGAGCTAATGTCGACCTTTGTCTAATTGCCGCTCTTATACCAAAGAGACCTGTAGCATCCTTGTATTGTGATAATTGTTCTGAAATCAAATCTTTCACTGCATAACTTTCACTAAGTGTCTCAATGCACTTACGGAGGCCTCTCACCAATCTACCATTATTCTCAATTTCTGGTTTAGAATAATAATATTCAGGATTGAGATAGTGACCTGCAGAATGTAGCGGATGATGAAGTTGACACTCTCATGTTTTATCAATGATTTCAAATACGGCTTCGTACTTGCTTGAATTTGAACTAAAAGCTTTCTCAATTGATTCCTTCGCTACCCCCATTGCGGCATATATGTATCCCATTGCGGGTTTCCTTTCATTATCAACCATTCTTAGCACATCTACAAGAGGCGCATGCACTTAAGAGTGTAGAGAACATCATTTCAAAATGATATCGTAAGTATAGTAGTAGCTGCCCTTTGTCCTTTAGCATCTTTGGCACACTTGGAACTCGTCCATTCTTCACAAAGGAACATCTCTCTAAGCTTTCCTTTTAGTTCTTGCATCCTTTGTAGACAAAGGAAATGGGTAGCAAACCTTGTCACTCCTTGTTTAACCAATTCAACATTACCCGTAGTCTTTCTCATTAGATTCAAAGCAAAAGTATGATTATAAATGTAGCCCACAACCTTAACCCCTTTTTGTATAACCTTTTGAACCTTTGGAATTTTGCCTATGTCTTCTAACATAAGGTCTATACAATGAGCAGCACATGGAGTCCAAAACATGTGAGGCCTCCTCAAACACAATTCTTTACCCGCCGCTACATAATTACTTCCATTGTCGGTAATCAATTGAACAACATTTTTTTCACCCATTTCCTCAATAAAAGTGTCCAACAACTCGGCTAGCTTTTCCCCTGTCTTGGCATAGTTAGATGCATTAACACTTTTCACAAACATGGTCCCCGTCGGACAATTGACCAAGAAATTAATCAATGTTCTACCTTTTCTATCCGTCCAACCTTCCGACATAATTGAACATCCATATTTATTCCTTTGCACCTCTTGGTTTTTCAACAAACATTTTGTATATTCCAACTCATTGCGAAGGATTGGAACCCTGAGTTCATGATAACTTGGCGGTTTCAAATGAGGACCATAACTTTCAACGGCTTCCAACATCAACTTAAAAGCTCTTGCATTTGCTACGTTAAAAGCAACTCCACACGTATAAAAAAAGCGACCAATATATTGGATGGTTCTTGCCCTTGCTTCTTTATCACACGCATCATTGATGCTTGTATCCTTACTCTTCTTATACACCAAATCCAACGGTCCCTTATTCCTCTTGACAGCCATTGAAGAGGTCTCACTCGCAACCATCCTCTTTCCGGTTTGAATTCTACGTATTTCCTCAAAATCAACGGTATCATCCGCATCTAATTGCACTGAAACCTCTTGTATTCCTTTCTTAATTCTCTCCTTCTCAACCATGTCCGCGCGTAATATAGCCTTAACATCCTTGAGTGTTTTCGTGCAAGAAACTACATCATCGGTAATTGCTAATTGATGCCTTTTGGCTCTATTTATTCCCCCACTGCTAGTTAAATTACAAAAATCACACGTCACCTTCTTCTTGTTATTCAAATCCTTCTAATGATTGTATTTCCATCTATGTCCTTACTATTGGTTGGTTTGAACGTTGGAGCACATGAAGCAACCGACGCAAAATTGGGTGTCGACGAAGAAGCTGTCATATTTACCCGAAAACAGAGAATGAAACAGTACGAAAGAAGTATATTTACCCAAGGCTGGCTGAGAGTGGAACGAAGAAATGGAACGGAGAATTCCTTGCTGGCTGCTGCTGGAACAGCGGAACGGAGAAGTAAAAGAGGGCTTGCGAACGGCGGAGATGTGAGACAAAAGTAGAAGAAGATGGAACGGTGGAGATTGGAGAAGATGTACTTGCTGGAATGGTGTATGGTGCTGTTGCTGCCTTGCTGGAAGCCTGGAACGGTGGAGAAGATGCAGACTGCAGTTGTATGTTGCTGCCTTGCTGGAACTGGAACGATGGAAGTGGAACAGTGGAGAAGAAGGGCACAAAAATTAGGGCAGAAGAAGAAAGTGAGAAAGTGAAACGAAGGAAAGAAAATATAATGCAAATCTGTTTTAAAAAGTATTTTAAAGAGGGGTAAAACAGTAATTTTGTCTAAAAAAATTTTAAAAAAAACCAGGCCCGAACCGCTCCGCCCGGGAGGCGCCCGTTATCCCCGACCCGGGATAGCGGCGATAGCGCCCGCTATCTTCTCTCCGCCACCGCACCCTTGTGCGCGCGCGGCAGGCCTCCGCTCCGCTCCGGAGCGCCGCGATAGTGGCCGCTACTGGCGCTATTAACAACTCTGGGCCTACCAAATAAAACATGACAGACATCCATATCAAGATTTTCATCTTTTACATCATTGATTTGCAAATGTTCCACCTTTTCATCCATGTCATGATTCTCACCTTTGCTTACAGGCATATCAAAAGTTAGTAGCTTTAAATTTTCACTTAAAAGACATTGCTCCTCAGATTTCAAAGCAACTGCAATTGTAAAAGAACCTTCACTCACTTCAGGACAAGAATCAAATTAAGAAGAAATACCATTATCCTCGAGTTGATTTTTGCAATTGATTGTGAGACTCTCATTCCATAAATACCCTTGTGCATCTCCTTCATATTTACCAAATTCATCATCACCAAATTTACTTCAATATTCTTTGCTACCCTTTTGACAATTTCGGACCTTGTCTCTGTCTCTAACAAAAAATGTCCAATTTCTTTAGTTTAGGAATGTTACTCTCAGGTTTGCAAAGTATAAAGCTTTTCTGCAAGGTGTGTAAATTAGAAACTTTTACCTGAGAAAAAAAATCAATGAAAGGAGATGGCTTATGTAGGTCTGATGATTTTATTTTTCATGTTTGATGCATTGTTTTGATCCATTCTGGATGGTGGACGTAGAACATAAATTGTGTTATTTGAACGTTTTCCACCCCTAACCTGTTCTCCTCTCTTGTCTCTTCGCCGATTTCCATTGTTATTGGCGTTCTTCACCTGATTTGCTAAATTCGTTATTTGTTCAGTCAAAGCAGTTAGAGTCGCGGTAAAGGCCGCACTAATTCCCTCAAAATCTGCCCTGGTTGCCGGTTGATCCGCCATGGTTGTCAAGCTACGAAAAGGACAGGAGAAATCTGCTCTGATGCCAACTGACGCAGTCAGAAGCTCTAGGGAATAGCAAGCGCTAAACCTAGAATAAAGAATAGAGTTGCAAGCACAAAACCTGTGAGATAAGCTTTGAAATCTACCTACCAGAAAGAGAAAAAAACTCTAATTTTATTATAGTGAAAGATAATCCTTATGGCTACGCCAAATGTCTTTAAATACATAAAACAAAATAACCCTAATGGACTTAAAGATACCCTAATGGACTTTTAATCTAAAACAGAATCAATTCTTTTAATCTAAAATAAAATCAAATCTTTTAATCTAAAACAGAATCAAATTCAAAATAGAATCAAATCCAAAATAGAATTAATCCTAAATATAATCAAATCCTAAATAGAATTAAATCCAAAATAAAATTAAATCCTAAATAAAACAAAATAGTAAATTGCTGATTTTGGGTATAAAACGAAATTAAATGGCTTAAAAATCCGTATGTCACTACAATGAGTCTAAATTCCTGGGCCGATTTCCTTTCCGAAAAGGTAAAATACAAGTAATTTTGACATCGGACGCCAAACTTGCGTAAATTCTGCCGAATCGTTCAGACGCACAGCTTTTCCTACGCACAGGAAGCCCTCTTACATCAGATATGACCTAAAAATGTGTTCATAAGTTGGAGGACCCATCACTTTACAAACTTGTTTTTGTAGGGTTGAGTTAGGTTCAATAGGATTTCTAAACTGGTATCAAAGCCTATCCATGATCTGTTGAGGCACCTGCTAAAAAATCCCTGGTGTCATGCTCCAGATATCAAGTCATGGGCATAAAGGTGTGCGTTAAGAGTTCTATATTGGATATGCACTGAGAGTGTAATGTATTTAAATAAGTGGAAGACATCCCTCACCTTTCAAATTGATTTTGTAGAGTTGAGTTAGACCCAATAAAAAATTCTATGATTTAAGTAATAATAATGGTGGTAGGCTCTACCTCCTCAAGCACTTTCTAGGGCCTTATTATGTGTACCTTGCAACCTTTTGGTCTTTTAGACAATTGGTCTATCGTCTCTCCTCTAGAATCATCTCGCATGCTGGTTATTAATAGAATCAATCATATTTTCTTGCTGGTACAATTAAAATTATGGTGCTATACAGTAGTGCCATTATGATGTTCTTGTTTCTTTTCTAAAGTTGTTGCAATCAAATCCTTGACTATTTTTATTCTTGATTGATACTTTTAGGTTCATTCTTGGTCTGTGGATGCCAACCAATTCATTGCTGATGAAGAGGATGCCACTTATAGCTGCCGCATTTCTGGTCAGTAACTTTCCGTAATATTTTATTTGTCACTTGTAATTTTTTAAAGTTATAGTTTATTTCAAATTGGTTTGCATTTCCGGTTAGTAACTTTCCTTAATATTTTATTTGTCATTTATAATTTTTTAAAGTTATAGTTTATTTCAAATTGGTTTGAAGGTTCATATGTTTATTGTGCATCAGGATTATTTTTTTTGCGTCTGTTGTAATTATGACTTTAATCCTTGTATGTAATGTACTACCCTTTTTGACTTTTTAAGAATTGCATCAGTCAAGAACATAAGATCGCATATTCATGCCTCCCTTTTTGGTAGAGGTAACAGATGGATGGATTTTGGACTGTATCCTTATGGAGAGATAAATTAGAATACATTGATGCGTGCAGTATGCATTACAAACATTAATTTCATAAAAAAATAAATGAAGTAACTCTCTGGTCTTGAATCTCTTGATGGATATCAATTGGAAACATTTTCCGTTGGTTCAGTAGCCAAATCTGGTCAAGTTATCCAATTAGTCTTGTGAGTTATGCAAACTATAGGTTTTTCCCAATATGTAGTATGCATTTTGCATTTCTGTAATTTGGTGTGTTTGTATGGATTTATGTCTATGTTGTAGAGATATTCACGAGCTTCATCAGAAAATTGCTTCTTGTAGGTGTGCTTTTACTGGAAGAGGTAGTCAATTCTTTTGACAATGAAGGATTTCTGGCCATCATAGATGCTGCAAAACAATGGTTCACCGAGTCTCAAATAAGAAAAGTGGCTGGCAATGCAAGCTGGTGGAGGGTAAATACAGATTTTCTGTTTTCCTTGGATCTAGAATTTATCCAGTATTTTAGTTCTTTTTCCTTAACACTCTTTTTCCTTGTCCCAAAGTGTTATCTTAAATTTCGTGATGCCTCAGTTAAGACTGTTAAGCCTCTCTTATTCTTGCTCCTAATGTTCATGGCCTAATTTTCTCTTCTCCCCCTTGTTCTCTCTCCCCTTACCATTCTTTTTTAACTTTTTAACTCACCCTCTCTCAACTTTTAACCAAAGGGCACCTTATACTTTCCCTTGGTGGTTTGAGGTCTGCTTTTTCTGTTTATTTCATCCATAGCGTGAAAACATATGCTGTATTAATATTGCCATGGTATGCATTCCGATGGTCTCACAACTTATTTGTAACACGAGAACAAGTTTTTTCTTCTGCATCAATCATTTCATGGAACTTAACATTTCTAAGTTCTAAAGTCAGTGTTATATATATTAATTCTGGCAGATAAGAGAAGCCACTCTTTTTGCCTTGTCATCTCTTTCAGAACAACTGCTTGAGACACAGGTATGTGATTTTAATTTCAGTTTTCTTAACTCTCATGGGCAGATATACTTTTCATCTCCATTTTCAATATCTGGGTTTTACTTTCCACTAAGGTATACTTTGATATATATTTTATGTCCTTCATATAGGAATCAGGGTTTAAGACAAGTAACTTGAAGAACATGATTGAGCAGATTGTTGCCGAGGACTTTCTAATAGGTCATATCTCAATTCTTCCCTTAAGCTTCCATTATGCTTCACTTGTGATACATGTGCACATTTATATATGTATTTTTTATTGTACTTTCTCCCCTTTTTTGTGGCAGATTCTCTTGAATACCCCTTTCTATATGCTCGTGTTTTTACTTCAGTTGCCAAATTCTCCTCTGTGGTAACTGCTTTCTGTCCTGTTTTCTTTTCTATGATAGTTTCTCCTTCTCTCTCTAACTTTTAACTTCTCTTAATTTACAGTTAAGCAGTGGAGTACTAGAGCACTCTCTTGATGCAGCTTTGAAGGCAATTACAATGAATGTGTAAGCAAACCTCTGTCAATTTGTATTCTTCGTACATCAAGCTTTCTTCTGATTTTTAATTTGACAGGCCTCCACCTGTAAAAGTAGGTGCCTGCAGGGCACTTGCTCAGCTTCTCCCTAAAGCGAAGAAAGAAATTGTTCAACCACAATTACTGGGTTTATTTTCATCCCTTACAGATCTTCTTAATCATGTACTGTACAATATTAATCCCTTTGTCATATATATATATATATATATATATATATATATATATATATATATATATATATATATATATATATATATATATATATATATATATATATATATGTGTGTGTGTGTATATATTGTTATTATTGCAAGATGTAGTTACCTTAATATGGTTTACAGGCATCAGATGAAACCTTGCACATGGTACTTGAAACATTGCAAGAAGCAGTAAAGGCAGGTTAGTATCTTTCTCTTATATTTAAATTATTGATATGTAGAATATTTCTGGCCTAGTCATACTTCCACACTTGTTTGTGTGTTGTGTTTAGCTAGCCATTTGATTGTATTTACCCCCTCATTTTATGTTGTAGGCCATGAATCACCCGAAATAGTGGAACGTGTTATATCTCCTGTAATCCTTAATGTATGGGCATCACATGTTTTGGATCCTTTTATCAGTATTGATGCACTTGAAGTTCTTGAGGTAATGGTTTTGATGTTTATTCTTTTGTTAATATTTTTCTTCAGAGTTTCTTGATTTTGTCAACATTTAACAATAGTTATCTACTGAGGTTGTAACTCAATATCCTACATACATCGCATTTCATAAGATAGGAATGCAAAACATGAAATTGTGACATGAAAGGAAGATCTTATATATTATGGCCGAGTTTGACAAAAGTAATAGATACATTGGTTGATAACATATAAGTTAAATATTTATTTAAATCTTATAGTTGTAAGACTAGCTGATTGAATTTGAAATGTTGGATAACTTAGCAAGCGAACCATTTGGTAAAAGTAAAAGAGCATAAAGGACATGCTTATATAATCTTTTATATATTATTTTTTAAAGTAGTTATTACTTTTAATACTTGAATTTTTCTCAATTTACTTATAATATTAAAATCTAGATATTTAATGTTTTTGATTTTTGAATTTGATGTTACTCATTCTTACAAAATCGATATATAAAGTGTGGGATGCCTCCCACACATATAAACAATTTTTTCCAGCCATATCTCATATAATGTGGGACCTTCAACACACTCCATTCATTGCCCATGTTATGGAAATTTGGAGTGTGACCTAAGTGTCCTAATAGTGAGTTGTCTAACAAATCTTAATAGACTCTAATGCCATTTCAGAATCTGGGCTGGACCTTACGCAACCTCACAAATTTGACTTGTAAAGTTAAGGGTACCGCTTTATAAACTACTTTTGGGTCTTATCACATCATAATGTTGGATGCAGTTTTTACCGAAAAACTCCCGCACACCCAATATTGTTTGGCTTGGTGCTTCGATAATATTGGAGGATGACCTGCGTAGACTGGCTCTCATATTGTCTTAGGATTTTGAACTTTGCCACTCATCTTTAAAAAACAAACCTCTAAAGTGAGGAATGACTCCTACTTATAAATTTTTTAGGCTACTTCTCATCTGATGTAGATATATCTGGAACAGTGGCAGAACCCAAAATCTAAAATACTAGTGGCAGAGTACTCTTGAAGCAAGCCATATAGAGCAAGGAGCATGAAGAAAGTGCTGGGTTATGCACGCTCTCTCTCTTGTTCAACTTTAGTTCTTCCGACAGGATGTAGGAGCTCATTAATATCTTGAAGTGCACAATAAATTTGACCAAGATATGTCGAAATAGACCCATCTATATTTTCCAGAGTAATGATATTCATCAATCTGTGACAAACCTCATAAAAACGTTGAGTGTCATTAGTATGTAGACAGTAGAGTTGCTTAGCTTGACTCCAAACCGATTCACACATTATATGAGGACGAAAGATCAGTTTAATATCATGGTGATGGGTGGACTTGATAACACTGCACAACTGAGCATCAATCTGTTCTCATTTTGGTTTTTCAGCTTCAGAGACTGTCTCGAATGTTGTAGAACTTGTAGTGAGATGATCCTTGTAATCTTGACCAAAAACCATAATTTAATGTCAGAGGCACAACTATTGTAATTATAACCATTCAATCTCTTTGTAGAGAGGGGAGATGTGACGTAGTTGGTGAAAATACTCTTTGAACCAGTAAAGTCTCCATTAGCATCCATGGGTATGAGAGGAGAGAGAAACAACGTGTGGACGGACGGTAATAGGAAAAGATAAAGAGGTGATTCCAACAAGACAAAGGGCCATGGAATGGTGTCCGGACGCGCCGTCACCCGCGGCAGGTGTGGCTGTGTGTGAAGGCATTGGATACAATATTGAAAAAGAGATAATGAGAGACATTAGGAGAAACTGTGTCTGAATATCACCAAAGAAATTCTATTATACAGTGAATTGCACAGCTAAGAGTATTAATTACAAAAGAAATATACTACTGAATATTAAGGAATATGCTACAGAATATTCTATTCTAAAAATATATTTACAAATATCAACAATTACTATTGCTTTCTAGTTATTTATTGTTTTATTTAACTGAGGTTGGATGATATAAAAAAGGAATTTCACAAACATAGTTAAGGTTGATATGTCAAAAACAGTTATAACTTTACTATTTAACAAAACTTATGAAGAAACACAATAAGCTTTTAGATAATCTTGGGTACTAAATATCTATACTTTGTTGATGGAGTTAATGAGGAGACTATGAGAAAGGGTGATGTGGCTAGTAGTCCACCGGGTGTTCCTAAGATGTGGAGAGTGTATGTCAGGAAAAATAGGAAGAACGAGAATGATGAGCATGCAAAGAAGGGAGGGAATGCGTGTGTCTTTTCTGTTATATGGGGGCAGGTTAGTGGAATAGGGGATTATGGAGAATATTCTGTTAGGTAGTGCACGGAATTGATTTCTCTGTAAGGGTGAGCGTAGCTCTCAAGGAATTGAAGGAAGAGTTGTTTCCTTCATTCCATTTTTCTCCATCAATAACAATTAACAAACACTCCATTTATTACTCCATATATATTTGGTTCGTAGCACTTGGTATCAGAATATTGTTTGTTTTCTGGTGGACGATGTAGTGATTGACATTTTTGTGGTCATTAAAGGTTTTACTTACCTGAAACTCCTTCAATCTTAAACCACTCTTTAGCTGCAACGTTGAGCTTTCTCTATGATGTTTGTTTGATCTGAATTTGTTACTGATCATGCTTCATATATTGTTCGCTTCTACGTTCATAACCATTAATGCTTCTATATGTAAAACCTTTAGTACTTGTTTTCTGGTGGACGATGTAACGATTTGGCAGCAATTTTTTCAACTTTTAGAGGTGACGTATTTTGTTGTCTGATGAAATTTATTTTTCAGGCAATCAAAAGCATTCCTGGATGTATACATCCATTGGTTTCCAGAATTTTACCATATATTGGACCAATTTTAAATAAAGTATGACTATTTAAAGTTACTGAAAATCAGGATTAATTAACAATTTTAAAATAATACCCTTTGTTATTTATGCACTCTTTAAATGTTTTTATAGCCCCAAGAGCAGGCTGATGGTCTGGTAGCTGGTTCACTAGATCTGGTGACAATGTTACTGAAGGCAAGTATACTTTAATGGATTTGTTTTTCATTTTTTATTTTTAAACTTAAACTCATTAATTAGCTTTGAAGTTTGACCTCTGTACAATGTATTTATCCTACAATTTTCTAATCTCAGCATGTCATAGCTTTGTACAGAATTCCCCTGGCGATGTAGTGAAAGCAATATATGATGTCTGTTTTGATGCTGTTATTAGAATTATCCTTCAAAGTGAGGAGCATAGTGAAATACAGGTCAGTTTGTTTGATAAAATATATATGTATGTATCTTATTTTATTACCTGATTTGAGCATGACTTATTGCAAATTTGCAACACAGAATGAAATATTTGAATTAATTATTTACTTGAACAGAATGCTACGGAATGTTTATCTGCTTTTATATCTGGGGGAAAACAAGAACTTCTTTTCTGGGGACTTGATTCTGGATCTACTATGAGAAGCTTACTTGATGTAGCTTCAAGGTAGTTTGACTTTTATTTCAAATTTTGCAGTAAATTAATTACCGCTATTGCTTAAAATATCCTTTCTATAATAGTTTGATATGTTAGGTTCTTCCAGTTCCAGACTGAATTATGTCGACTAGAATGCATTTGTATGGCTAATCCATCTAATTATTGTTAGATAAGAGAAAATTGAGAGAAATTGTATTGTATTTCATTCTTTGTGAAAGTGTTGCAACTATTTGTTATTATCCAGTCATAACTGAATCTAGGGATTTATAGATTGCCTAATCCTACACCCAAGGTGTCCTATCCTACACTCAATCATAACTAACTTTAGGTTGATTATGCCCGCATGGCAAACAGAAAGGGAAGAGTAGCTACTAGAATCTTCTTATCTCACAATTATTAATTCAACCATACACAGTAGTTGTTAAAATACTTTTTATTTATTGAAAGTTATGCTATTTGTATTGAGCAATCCTGTTAGATAAGAAAAGGAGAAACCCAGTATGGGAAATGCTTAACTTCTAATACTCACTACTACCATTTATGTTTATTTTTGAAAAATGATTTTGTTGTCTCGTTTTATACACACATGCATCTGTGCATATATCAATCTAACACTTACAACTTATGTTATTAGTACCTACTATTTGTTTGTTAGGATTATTTTGTTCACCTTTTTATGACTGGGAATATGAGTGGAAGATTCAACCATCGATACAAAAAAGTGTAAACTGATTAGTTACACGGCATGAGAAGATAAAATTTAACTGCTAATTTTTTAATGTGATGAAAATGGAAGAAAATAAGGCTTTACTTTTCTTCCCCCTTTTTGCATGTACTCTTCATAATAGATACAAGTTGAATGTGTTTATTATTTTGTTCACTGTCTTTTCTGCTTTGTATATCTATGCGTTATCTTTATCTGATTTTCATTTGTTGCTTGATTCCTTGTTAATTTGAAACAGATTACTAGACCCAAATTTGGAAAGCTCTGGGTCTCTTTTTGTTGGGAGTTATATTCTTCAACTAATATTGCATTTACCATCACAAATGGCTGTACATATACGTGACCTGGTTGCGGCTCTTGTCAGACGTTTGCAATCTGCTCAAATTGCTTCCCTGAGAAGCTCCTTGCTAGTTGTTTTTGCCAGATTGGTAATACTAATAATAACAACTTGTTTAGATTGATTTAGAATGATTCTCCTGCTACTTTTATATGATAATGGTTAATTGTCCCAAATCTCTATGGTTATTAATTGTCTACAGAAGTGGAAAAGCCAGTACAGCAATGATCCTTTATAAAACTTGTATACTACTAGATAGTGCTTCTAGAAATGTTTTTATAGGACTAGAGGCTACTTTTCACCTTCCCATTCTTCCCCATTTCTCTGTTTCTCTTGCATCAATAATTATTGTATGCTAGCTACAAGTTTTTCGTTTTGGAGTTTACTTTTTATTTTATTGTTTCCATTCTTGTCATGTTTTCTTGACCTCTTTTTTTGTACGACATAATTTGTTTGGCTATGGCTTTGTGTTTTGGAGTATACTTTTTATTTTATTGTTTCCATTCTTGTTATGTTTTCTCGACCTCTTCTTTTGTATGACATTATTTGTTTGGCTAGAAGCCTTCCACTTGTCTTTCGTCCACATAGATAATTTTTCAAATGTTTGGTTAAACGCAGGTACACATGAGTGTTCCTAATGTTGGACAATTTATTGATTTGCTAATTTCTGTTCCAGCTGAGGGACACAATAATTCCTTTGCTTATGTAATGTCAGAATGGGCTAAGCAACAAGGTGAGTGTCCTTGCGCTGTGGTGTTTGCTAAGTAAAACTCGAAATCAATACTGACATGAGAGATCTTAGTCACTTGAGTTAATAATAATCTAGCCATCTGAATTAATAAGCTCTATACAAAATAAGTTCATTGTGTAGTTATTCAATCATGTGATGTCAATTGAGCAATGAGCTCAAAAACACCCTTAATCTCCTGTTACTTTTTGTGACATTGTAAAATTTTTTTTACACAAGTATCTGAAATTTGATCAGATTTGTTACTGTCTCATATGATTTTACCGAGAGCTTCTCTCCATTAAAACACATACACACATGAGCATAATAAATAAATCTTCTACACATAATATACGATTGCAGGTGAGATACATGGGGGCCTATTCAATAAAAGTAAAACACATATATGCACATGAGCATGACAAATAAATCTCCTATACATAATGTATGATTGCAGGTGAGATACAGGGGGCCTATCAAATAAAAGTTACTACAAGTGCCCTGGCCTTGTTGCTAAATAGCAGACACAATGAACTGGAAAAAATTCAAGTTCAAGGTCATCTGATTAAGGTATTACCGTGATATTATTTATGTATCATTTATTTTTGGTTTTAACAATGCTTGCTGAGTTTTTCAAACTTATTTGTCATGTGAAGTCTGGCACAGGAATAACCACAAGATCAAAAGCTAAATCAGCTCCAGATCAGTGGGTAATGTTGCCACTTCCTACAAAGGTAATTCATTTTTTCGTAGTAGCAGAAAGACAAACACCAAATTGTCTGTCCATCTACTTTATTTATTGTGCTTTGTTGTGTGTGTGTGTGTATATATATATATCATGTTTTTATTTTTTATATAATATAATATTCATTTAAATATAATTTGCTTGTTTTAGTTTCATAATATCTATATGCTAATTGAGCTTATCTAAGGTTCACTATCAAAAATTATGTTGTATGTTTTCTAATTTAAATTTGAAAATGAATAGGCTGTGAAGGACAAATTTGTACAAAAAGAGGTCTTACCAAAAATGGTATATACTTGTGGAGTTCCCTGTAATTAAAATAACTTGTATTTCTCTGAATATCTTGCAGATTGTGGCTTTACTGGCAGATGCATTAACTGAAATACAAGAACAAGTTTTGGCTGGTGAAGATGAGGTAGGTTAATGAATGTTGATGTGTGCTAACTATATACTGATTAATGAACTTACTGCATATAAACTGTGTGCTAAGTATACACTGATTAATGAGCTTACTTCATATAAACTATTCATACAGGATAGTGATTGGGAAGAAGTTCAAACAGATGGCGTTGAAAATGGTAAAGAATTTTTTCATTCAGTGTCGGCTATGGGAAAACCCACATACGAACATCTTGAAGCAATGGCCAAAGTATTTAGTGAGGTTTGATTGATTTACCATTATTGTCACACCATGATCACTTTATTATGATTCTATCTTGTCCGAGTTTTGAGCTGAACTATATTTTTTCTTTATTTCTGAACTTGCTTCTAAATGTCAAGGATCAAGACGATCAGTACGAAGATGACCTTTTAAATGTTGCGGATCCTCTTAATCAGGTCTCAAATTGGAGTCTGTTTCATTGTTTAATAAGATGCATTAACCTGCATATGCATTTATTTATTAACAATATTTGTTGCTACTGACAGATAAATCTGGTAAATTACCTTGTGGATTTCTTCGCTAACTTCTCACAGTCTGACAGAGAGCTCTTAGATCATATTTGCAAGGTTATGAAGCATTATTGTTTTATTTTAGGAAGTGCAACTTTTGAGACATACTGATGAATGTTTTGCTAAACTTGTGCAATGTATTGTTTTGTTGCACTGCAGAGCTTGACTCAGCCTCAACAAAGTGCAATTCAAATGATACTGCAAAGATGAGAATCAAGTGTCTTCTCAAGGATTCATTGATACTACGATGAACAGAGAATTTGAAATAGTTGGAAAAGAGTATTTTGCTGTCGTTCAGGTTGGGAAATTTGTTTGTAGTGTGAGTTATTTTCTTTCTGCTGCTGTGTTCCCCTTCGTGAGATTGTTTTTTATTGATTGTTTTTTCTCCATTTGTTTTGTATGCGACAACTATCAGTTTTGGTTTTATTACTTGGTTTTTCTCCGTGACCAGGTTCTTTGTATAACAATTGTGCCATTTATTAATGAAAAAGAAATAACATAAGTTTGTAACACACTGATACTGATGCATAGGAATGTCAACTGTCTTTCAAGTACTCAATGCTTTTGCATATAGATATGATAATCTTCAAGTCTGATTTATTTCCTATAAATTTTAGAATCTTATAGCTTACCCGGTTTCTCGTTCTGCATACTATGGTTATAGTGTGAGCAGTGCATCATGAAAGAACAACCTCCATAAGAGTTAAATTAGTGGGTGTTTGCAGCCAATAGTTGCTACCTTAATTTTATAAATTGATTTAAATTATTAGTAAAACATATGCAATTTTTATTTTATTTATCTTTCTAGTAAATTGACATTATTAATAAGATATAATTTTAATAGTGTAATGAATGTATAGAAATTCTTAGATTTTAAGTTAAGCGACACTTAAAAGTTCTAAAAGCATACTATAATTAGAAATTGAGGAAAAAGAAGAGTAATGGTTGGATAGTTTTTGTTCGATGTTGCTCTTTATATTACAAAACCAGAAATGACACAAGCAATTTCTAATTGGAAATGCATTTTTGAAATTTTTTGAAAGTGTATTTATGAAAATTTGCCCTAAGGTAGGGCGAATCTCAAAAATTGAATGAATTATTTGTATGTGGGTGTACATTGAAAATATATTTTTGGTTTTTAAGATTATTTTTGAAATTTTGTGTGGTGCGCTAGAAAAGTATAGGATCGAAAAAGAAATCTTTTATGTATGACACAAAATAATATTTGTCTATTTATCAATTACATAAGTTGTTTTGGCAAACAAATAGTTTTACATATAAACATAACTTGTTTTAAAGTCCAATTTTTATATAAGCAATGTTTGATATACATTAAAAACACATCAAGATATATCTAGATTATATCATTGAAAATACAATTCAAAATTGCATTAAAATGTGTCACTATCGAAATAAAACTAAATTGCATAAAATAATGTTACCACTTAAATCTATATTTATGAGTGGTTTTGCCTTTGATTTTTTCTAATTTGATTATCTTTCAATTTTGTTAGATTTGGTAAACTCTTCCATCCGATCAAAAAAATTATTCGACCAAGTTTCAATTTCTTTTGTTGAATGAGATGTCCACTATGGGGGGATGTTCATGGCATAAGACATCCCGATTTCAAACAAATTTGAATAAAATATTATGATTTTGAAAGCCACCAAATACACATAATGCATATGATTGATTTTTGAGATGGACCACTTCGAAGTGGAAAATATGTTTTCGAGAAATCATATCTTGTCAGATCAACACACACCATAATATATCCACTTATTATAAAATCACCCATTTCAGAGAAACACATCGATCTTGTCTCTGGTGTTGAACCACTAACACAGAATAAAATATACATAAATTTCATCAATTAGTTTTTCCATGTATAACGTTTTGTATGATTCCTTTATGTGCCTTGAGTTCTTTGATAAGATGTTAGCAGACAATCCGCTCACCCTTAACATCTTCAATCCAATAAATATATTTATGAATAAAAAACCAACACCTCTTCAATGTGTATCATTTTTCATAAAAATGGTGATGACGACGGTTTATTGTGAAGGTGGTGAAAGTGGTGAAGGTGGTAGTGGTTTACTGATGCAAGAATCTTTAGTAGAACTTTTTTTGATTGTGAAATTGGAGAGTCCAAAAAAAGTGTATCAATATGTTCTAAATATGATGGATACCAATTGGTTAAATTTTCACTCGATGTTGGTTTGAGTTTATTAGGAGCACCCTTTGTTTTTATCGGTTTCACATGTGGTTTTAAATCAGTTGTTTCTGGATAGGAAATCTTCCCCAGTTGCTCTTTAATGTGAAGTTTCCTGTTATCATCAACTATCAAAATTCTCTTTTGAATCACCTTCATTCTGTAATAATAGATTTATTAAATTTACTCTCCTTCACTACACCATCATCATCAAATCAAAGCATTTTTCAGTACGAGTAAACCTCATCCATATGTATAGGCCTATCAAGTTTCATCTTTTTGGAAATTAGACAAGCACGCGGAAGACCACACGTCTTTCTAAATGTACAACCATACTTTGGGCTATTTGAACCTGTTTTCTTTGCTTGCTTAGCTTCATGATATATAAAATTCAATCTCGCTTGAGATAATAAAGATTTTTGTCTCTGAATCTGTGTTCTAATACTATGACGCTTCAAACAAAAGATGTTTATATCTCATTATGTTGATTTAGAATCATTTTGTTCAGTGATTCCTAACCCGTGCACAAATCTCTTTTACTATTTCCAATCAGTTGTTCTATGTAGCTTGAGAATATTCAACTCTATTAGTTGTAGTATTTTTAAAGTGTCTAACCTGATCGGTCCAAGCACAAATAATTTACTCCTTCACCTAGTCTAGAATTATGCTTTCAACATATTTCAAGAAATCCAAATATGCCACGCACACCCTTCTGAACAATATCACAAATTCGACATATAACTCCTTAGTAAAAGAATTTATTATAACATTATAGACACCCATTACTCTATCAAATATTGCACTAGGTTTGCCCATTTTCCGTCTTTATCTTTGATTTGTTTGGTCTATACCGTAGGTTTAAGTCCACCTTTCAATTTTTTTTTGTTATATGATACCTACACATTAAAGCATATGATATAGAATACACCTTTACAACTGACTTCATCAGTGCAGTATCGCGATCAGTGACAATCTCATGTGGCATATTTTCTTGGTTTTTCAACATAGTCTAACACACTCCCAAATCTCATGTAACATTATCTTCTTTTTCACATTCCAAAAATGCAAAGCCAACTAAATAAGTTATATCTATAGAAGTAAAACCAACAATTTTCAAAAGTTGTTACCTATACTTGTTGGTATTATATGTTGAATCAATTATCAACACAATGACAAATGTGTTGAACAAATTGATGGAATCTAGACGAGTCCAAAATATATCTCAAATGGGTTTTCCAACAACATAAACTTTATACCAAGATATATAATAATCATCATCCAAAAACTTTAACAATTATTGCATTTCAGATCTTGGACCTTTTATCGCCTTATTGTTTCAAGTGCAAACATTATACACTTTCCTAATATTTGCAACACTTTCAAATATTTTCCTTTTCAAAGTTGAGAGATGTTTTGTGTCGAACCATGTTCAATATCATATTAGAGACAACTTTCTTCTCTTCAGAATTTAGTGGACAAACAATAGAGTGATTGACTAACTTGTAACGCAAAACATGATTATGTATACAACATACCACATTAAATATCTATGTATTGTTCACCTTGTAGTACTCACACAACTTAAAAGAACACACATATTAATTATAATTATAAATAAAATATGAAATATTATTTTATAAAGTAACTACATGTAATATTTATTTTCCTTATAATATTTTGAAAATTTATAAACCTCTGTCACGCTCTTAATCCCTTTCTTCAAATATAAAATTAAAATAAACAAACATATCCCTTATATCATTATTATAATTAAATTATTATTTATTAGATTTAATTAATATATAAAAAATTAATTATTCTAAAATATTAAGATAAATTACATTGAATAGGTTTAATGTGCATTAGATTATATTTTTTAATAAATTATAATTGTCTATACTAATACTCTATTTTTTATTTACTTCCTAAAATATATAAAAATAAAAAATATTTTTTAATTATATAAAAATATTTCTTACATGAAATTCTTTGTATTAATATATAATAATTCAATACTAATGAATAAATTGAAAGACGGGCTCTTACACGATTTTGTTAAAAAATTATATTATTTTAAATCATTTAATTTGTATAAATACTCATTAATGGAACGTAAAATTAATTAATTCAATTTTATTTTAGTTTTTCAATTTTTTTCTTTGATTTTGAACGTCAATTTTTTTGACCAGATCAATTTGCTTCTATAAAAATTGATTCAATCGATTAAATATATTTATTTTATAAATTTTTTTGTCAAAAATATCATATTTTTGATGAGAAATTATAAATATGATATTATGACATGATACAAGAAAAAATAAGATTTACTTGAATAAATGTTATCATTTTTTAATGATAAAATATTAGAATTTATACTAAAAAAATGATATAAATATTTATTTAAAAAAAAGACAATTATGATTGGGAAATAAACAAATTTTTAATGAAAGACACAAATTTATTATTCTTTTTAGGAGAATATTTATTTACAGTTCCATAGACGTGATTTATACTTTTCTCCAATAAAAATATGATAAATGTAATTAAATATCCTTTAAGGATAAAAAACGGGAGGGAATTGTATATGTGTAGCAGAAAATTATACACTTGTTATATTTTTATTAAAAAAAAATTATAAACCACATCTAAGGAATTATATCTAAATTTTTTCCTTCTTTTTATATTTAAAACAAAAGGCCAACGTGGAAAATCCACATAATAATAAAAAAATTAAAAAAATAGATGTAAGTGTCATGTCACATATTCACCAAATAAATTTAGGGGTCAAAATAGAGAAATATTTATTGTTAAATATTAAAATATATCAATTTTCAATATATTCTAATACTATCATTTAATTTTACGTAATACATTTAAAACATTAATTAATAAATTCAATTTTATTTTGATTTTTCAAATTTGTTTTTGACTTGGAAGGAAATTTTTTTGACCACTTCTATGATAATTAATTCAATCTATTAAGTATGATTATTGTTA